CCGGGCTAAAAGCCCACCACAGCACTGACCCCTGACCCCGACCGACAAACCCAACTGGTGCGCGCGGGCGATTTATCAATTTTCATTTAATTATATCCGTCGTGCAAACGCAAGCACTTTGATATTTTATATCTGAAAGCGATATAAATCTTGTTTGTTAACTAGCACCTATTATACCTGCCTGCAAAACTAGCTCCCACGATCTATTGCAAGGAGAAAATTTTGCACACAAGATTATAATATAAGAGAGGAGGAAATGCGATAATCGTATTTTTTATTCACACCATCTTTACTAGAATAAAAAAATAATATTCCACAATAAGAATGATTTATTTTGACTTAATGATTATTATATTTAGACATATATCAAAAAAGTAATTTAATGAAATCTATCATTTGGTGCTAAGGTCCCCGTTCTAATTGGATTAATATTCTCAAATATGTCAAATATTTGATGTGCAAGTAAAATATTGTTATTATTGTAGTAAATTAAAATTGAGAAATGTAGATAATCTATAAACAACATATTTTTTTTTAATATATACTAACCACTAACGACAATAATAATAAAAATAAAGAAAAAATTTATTAAATTGTAAATAATAACATAATTTTATTAATTTTCAATTTATTTTCAAAAGCAAAAATTTAAGTAATATAACAATATAAAATTAAATGTTTAAACTTTTAAATAAATGAAATAAAGAATCGTGGCGGCGCAGAGATATATTGTGCGTGTACAGTATTTATTTATTTGTGTTCGGCCACGCAAGCATTGTCTCTTTGTTTATTTTAATAAGAGAGCGACGCACGCTGCCATGCAGACAAAAGCGGGACGAAAAAAGAGAAAAAGAGAGACATTATTCAAGCAGGCGAAGACGAAGAATAATAAGCAACGATCTTATAAATCATTGCCGCGCTCTCGACTTTTCATTGTTTTTGGTGCGCCTTTTATATTTGTACCATCGGCGCAAGACTTTATTGTCTGCGAAGGTGCGACCAGGAAAGAAACAGATGGAAAATTTTCCTGCCATCCTTTTATGTCAAAGGATATTATTTAATTGTTTTCAAAAATAAAAAGGTGCACGGTTTGATAACCTTTTTTATTAAATTTTATATCAATTATAATTCTTATTTCATTTTAAAATTTTCCAACAAAATTTTATTCTTAGCACTTCATTTTCTAATCTGGAAATGGCTCGACAAAACCATAATTGTTTTTCTTAACTTTTGAAAAATCTTTAAAGCGCAAAAAAAATTAAATTTATTACATTATGTGTGGTTCGATTGCCATCAACCATTTCTTAATTTAAAAAGCCCACTTCTTGATGCAAACTTAAGAAAGGCTGGTGCGTGAGAAATAAAAATTAAGATCCTTAACAGTTTTGGCAGTAAAAACGACGAGGCAAGTTCAAAAATGAAATCAAGCCCATTTTTTTTCAAGAAATATTTATTTAAAAAATATGTTACATTAAAATAAATTCTAGTGTTGGTATAAATGCGTGGCGTGAGCATTACACTTTTGCCCGAGTGTTTGTGATAGCAAAATATTTATGGGATTATGCGGCGGCTCGACGATTGAGATCTTAAGTGAGAGGTCAGCACAGACACACAAGAGAGTGAATGAACAATGGGCCGCGTGCGCGCGCGGCAACAATGCTTTTATTGCCCACATCATAAGTGCAACATCATGTTTGGTGGCTGCGATCTCGCCGAAATATGCCACGCGCGTTTAAAAGCTTTTCTCCAGAAGAAATATATAAAATAAGGTGACGCCTTTCCTGGAATTTGCTTTAAATTTCTGCGCGCCTTTATCTCAAAGTCAACCAAAACGTATAACGCTGTTTACTTTTGGTATTTTTTCCACACTAATCGAAGTCATAAATCTTGGAAGTAAGCTTTGGCTTTGTGTCTTATCGGTGAAAAATATTGCAGTCACTTCATTCATTTTTTTTATATGTGGCCAGAAAATCAAGCAATCAAGTGAACTATATCAGAAATAATAAAAATTATCCACATATTTAATCCAAATTTTCTTTATTCAATAATATGTTCATGTTCATTCGATCTCTATTTATGGGAAACTTAAGGTTAATAGATTATTATCAATATTAAATTTTGTTTCCCATTCAGAACATATTTCTGGCTCTTTTAATATTTGGCCCCTTTTTCAAAAAATTAATATTTCCCTTCCGAAAAAGTTGCTTTTCTTTCAATTTAAAATTGTCACAATTTGGGCTGTGAATAAATAATATTTTCTCTAAATTCGTTGAGAAATCTATGAAATTATTCACAAAAATAAATGAACAAACAATGCATTATTAATTATGTACAAAAAAATTTAACATTTTTAGAATTGTTGTGTTGCAACCTAGATCTTTTAAACAAGGCATGAATTTTACCGAGTGAAACTGCTAGGCTGAATGGAGTGACTCGCGGTTAAAATATCATCGACAGCAGCTTGAAATTATTTCTCCTCACAAACGCACGCTCTTGCACAATAAATTTTGATGGTGGAAAGAAAAAAAGCCAGTCAAAATAGTGCTACACTCAAGTGTGTGTAAAACACGCGTCCGAGAGCGACCGACGGACAGATGGTGAGAACGAGAAATTCTGCCAAGTCAGAGTCGGAGCCTGTGGGGAATCAAGATGTAAAAACTCATCTGACACCTGATCTCGCATAATTGACACATAAGCTCTTCATTTTACAGCGGCCCCTTATCGTGCTATTCATCGCACTCGGAGAGGATGTGCGCGACGATACAGTTATTTTTTCAAAATAAAATTTTATGTGCCAACTTCGCAGGCTGTTTGGCTTCGATTTCCTCTGAGTTAACATGCTTCTGTTCGAACTTTTATTTCTAAAGGAATGCCGTTTGTAGTGAAGATCGTAAATTGTCATTAGTTGCTATTTTTGCGGTGCCAAAGTCAGGTGAGGATCATTTCGTGTTTTATTTGTCATTTATAAAACTGTAAATCATAATGTAAAATTTTAAAGGCTGGGCAATTTTTAAGTTTAGGTACTGCGTACATTATAGACTTCGAACTGATTATTAATCTTTGTCTGCAAAGGCAAGGAATTGATGATGCTTTTAGGACATATTTTAAATACAAATAGTTAAAATAGAATATCTTTCTCTAATCCTTTGATATTCGATTAAAGATACATTCAAATTTTCATGAAAAACGCCAAACACATATTTGCTTCTTTCTTTTTTTTTAATTTTTTTTTTTATTTTAAAATTTTTCTTGTCCTATTTCTTTTGGCTGCAAAGGCATTTTTATATTTGAAGGCAAGCATACAAATCACAATTTCTCAAGTTTTCCAAATTATGCAAAATGACTTCTTCTTATTTTTAACATTTTCACAGTTCAGTTTATTAAAAGGTATTTACTTGCATTTTATTTTCATGATTTTTTTTCGGTTAAAACTTTTTCCATTGTATGGAGAATAAACAATAATTTATAAATTGTTACTAAGATAATGAGGAGGAAATTTACATATAATTATCTATACGTCGTATTAAAAAATGAGGATTTTTTTGCAAATTAGTCAAAATTCTAAGTAAGGATACAATTATGCAAATGGGCTTCATGAACTCCACGTCCATCACACACAATGCCCACGATGCGATAAAAAAAAACCCAGGTCCTTGGGAAGAACAACAAAAGTTAATTACAAATGCACCCCTTTTACGGTGTCCGGCGGCACGAAACGAAATTAGGCGGCAGTTTGGTCAGGTGGGCTGAATTTTTAAGCAGCCTCTTTCTCTCCCAGGCGAGAGCCGAGCTCCGCTCTTGGCCTTTCGCTTGATGTAAAGGTCGTGTGTTTGACAGTTAATGTGGCATTAAAGCTACGTGGAGTGGCTACCGTGCGCGCCGCCACCATTATTTATCCCCAGAGAAATTGATCTTAGCAACTTTTGCCGCCCCGGCCCGATGCGAGAGCTGCTGGCCAGAATTTTAACGCGGCCTGTCCGGCCTAGCTTTTATTGGAATTCGCTGCTTTTAGCCGAGCCGAGAGAGAATCGCATTTCACTCTTGACTGCTGGAAAAAGAGTTTTTCGTTTTAGCCGCTGCATTTGTCGCGCGCACACTGATGGAATTTCGGACAAGCCCGATGCTTTTTCGGCCGCCAATTGCGTGCGCCAATTTGGCCGGAATGGCGAAAAATAAAAATCGGGGAGTGTTGGAAAAGCTTTCAGCTGCCCTCGGGAGTTTTCGATGGCGTTTATGAAGCTCACGGCTTCGAAAAAGGCAGGAAAGAGATGGTGCGTGTCGAGTGCTTTTTGGTGCCGCATGAATGAGGTTTATTATTACGGCGTTTAAATCGGGAGTTTTTGGTGAATATTTTGTTGAAACCACGTGTATGTGCATATATATTTTGTGCATTTAAAAGTTAAAGAAAAGACTCAGAAATTACATTTTTTTTTAAATAATATTTTTAAATAAAATTAAACACATAAACAATTAAATGGTTGGTGCCTTCTGCACAGGAACAGGCCGACAAGAGTGTGTCTTAAGGCTTGATATCCTACGAAAAATAAAAAATTAAGTTGACATCAAACAGCCAAACCATCGTGTCACAGGAAATACTATCGCGGAAGCAGCAGTTTTTTTTTTCGAAAAAAATATTTACGTGCTAGAGCGGTCACCACAGTTTGCTGTCCAGTAACAAAATGGCATCAAAAACAAAACTATGCATGATTTCAATTTTCATTGTGATATCTAATGTACGTTATTTGCAAGTAAGTTGAAAGAAAAGTTAACACTAGTTCTTTTAATTAGATAATATGCGACTTGAGCGCAAAACGCTATAAGCTGCGTATTCGTAGGATTAAAGGTGGTATTGGTATTTATACAAATAAAAAATTCCGTAATTGCATCTATAATTATACGTTTGATTTCTGTGCATAACGAAGTTTCCGACAGACGTAATTATATCATTAAATGTTGCGGAAAATCATCATGCGTGGAAGCCCCTTTGAACAGCTCTACTCGTATTTTACAACAAGTTCATTTTATTATTTATAATTTGGCCCAAAGTAAAAATTGTTAATTATGATTTTAAAGTTAACTGAGCAAACATCAAAAGTATTACAAGGAACACAGGAAAACATCCCAACCCTGGAACCTGGTAAGATTGAGAATAATTTGTAAATTAATTTTAAGTAAGTTTTCTTCCCACATATTTATTACAATTTCATATAAATATATTAAATTAATGTACCTTTAACCGTCAACGACAGAATCAGGTGACACGTTTGAAACAATGGAAATCACTGACATGAAGGATGTTTCACTGACAACAGAAAATCCGTTCCAATTTACGTCACAGTCTGACTTCACAATCAGCCCGACTACCTCTCTGAACTTTTCAAGTGGTCATAGATTTTCAAATACGGCTGAAAAGTTCACAACTGAAACACCCTTTTCAATAACATTGACTCTTACCGCAGAATCAACTACTTTAACAAGCAAAACTACTTCAAATACTCCGGATACAATTTATTCAGCTACGATTTACAATAGTTTGATTTCAAATGACAATAATTCCATGACCACTTCATCTAATTTTACCACAGATAATTCATCTGCCTCAACGTCATCGAACATAAAATTAACCATATCTTCTCAAACCATAACGACCGAGCGCATATTGAGTACAACTAATTCCCAAACCACTAAAACTTCAACAAATTCCATCACAACTACATTAAGTACTACTAAAGCCCCACTTTTCTGTGTAAAAGATGTAATTTTATCAGTTCATAAATTTTCACTTGTTTTAACAAAAAAATTATAAGCAGGGAACATTATTTTCAAACCAAGGCCACTTAGTTGGTATTTTTATTTTTCAGTTTGAATTCCTTCTTTTTGAAATTGATGTATATTCTTAATTTTGTTGTCCAGACGCCGACTCTTATGGACAATGGGTGGAAGCATGTGAGCTTTTATATTTGTGGGGAAATAAAGTTGTAAGTGTTTATTTCGCTCGAGATTGCTACTTGAAAATATTCATGTTTTTTTAGGTTGATTGGCAGTCGAATCATGATCGTTGCTGCTCTATTGGGATGATGCCGATCATGATTGAGAATGACAAAAAACGAGAATGCTTAACATCTCTTGCTAACTGTAATTTGTCATACACAATGCCATGGTGAAATTTAATTAAAAATTTAAAGCGTCAGAGTGGAAATTCGGAATTAATTACTGGTCATACGGACGTAAATTCCGCGAGAGCGCCAATTATTTGTGGTGCCAGCAAAACTCTATCATAGAAAATAATTCTTCACTTTGGAAGTTCAATTCAACAAAACAATCAGATGGCTGCGTACACTTATTTATCAACAAAAGGGTTTCCATAACATCGGAGAATTGTTCAAAGTTGTACATATTTGGTTGCCAAGTACATGCATTTAAGTGATTTTTCTTTTATTTAAAAATTTGTCCAAATAAAGGGCCAAACAACTCAAGCACCTCCATGTTATAAACCTCAATGCCCAAATATTTCATGTGAAAAAAACGTGATACATTAAAAAAGGATAAAATATAAAAAAATAAATCTTTGAAAACTTTTTAGCAATCTTTATTTACAAAGCTGAATTACGATGGCATTTACCAAGTTTTATTGGGTAATATAACAAATCTTTTTTCCTAGCATTAAATTGTGTTTAATATAATTTGTAGCTCCATCAAATCAAGGGTATTGGTACACAATTAACTCAAGAACATACATGTTCAGCTACACTGACGCAACAGTAAATTTAATAACATGATTAAACATTTAATATTATCATTTATTTATTTAAAAGTGGTTTGATGCGATGACAGGTTGTTGCTCAATCGGAATGAAACTTCTCAGCATCGAGTATGACTATGAATATGGGAATTTAGTCCAGGCAGCAAAAAGTGAAAATAAAAAATGAAATGAATAATTTAAAAATTTAAAATTCGTAAAGATTCCAGCAATGCTACTGGAACATTTTGGACATCAGGAAGTGATTTGGGTTGCGATAAAAATTTTGCCTGGTGCTCCGCCAACGTTTTATTCCGTGGTAGACAGACTAGTTGGGGTCCTGGGGAACCAAACAATCTTCGTGGAAAAGAGCATTGCGTTGTTGTCCAGTTGAATAAAACTTCAGGGATTTTATTCGACAGTGATTGCTCTAGCAAATTAAAATATATTTGCGAGGCAAGGGATACAAGGAACACCAATATCAATGCAGAAGCAATTCTTCATGAGTGCGGCATGATATACAACGTATCAGATGGCAATTATTAAAATCTATAACTTTTTTACTTATCAAATGACTCTACTATGAATTTTAGTCGAAGCAAGTGATATTTTTAACCGAAAAACTAAACTGACACTTATACTCAAAGTAAGCGTGTAATCATAAAAATACAAATTTTTCGAACTAAAAACTTTTCAGTGCTTTTTGAAATGCATGGGCGAAAATGGAGGATTTGTAAAAAAAATAATAATAATAATAATATGATACTAATTTGGCCTTAAATTTTTTTAAGATGTGGAATGGAAAGCTTATTGATGCGAAAGTTTTGACCATGATAGAAAAATATTCTAATAATGAATTGGAACTGCAAGAATATATGGCTGCACACCAGGCATGTGGCTCAGAACGTAAATCTTATTTTGAATCTACTGATTCTTAATTCGCCTTAAATTCTAGGTGGGATGGATGATTGCGACACAGCATCCTTGATTTTTCAGTGCACTCAAGATCAAGCCCCAAAGCTTTTTGAAAATATTCTCACTGAGGCTAAAAACAATCCGTTGGCGGTTAGAATTTTACAAGTCCGAATTATTTATTGAATTTAAATTGGATAATTACAGGAATTCGTTCCTCTTCAGACAACTGTTCACAAATGTGTGACGAATTATAGTTGTGTCATTGACGTATAATATAATTATAATCTTATAATAATTATATATTTTTTAATTCTTATTATGCATAATTTTATATTTAAAGCCTATATTGAGAGATGATTATGTAAACAACCGATGTGAGTAAAAATAGTAGCCAAAACTTAAGGAGGTTTTTAACAAAAGAAAATTTGTTATAATACTTACAGCTGCCAACGGGAATCAAATTTTCACAGCGTGTGGCATTAAGTATCTGCACTTTTCGGAAAAAGTTATTTTTCCATATTTATTTATATTTAAGTTGAATTAATTTTTAATATTTATTAAAGGTCAATTTACTTACCGCACTAACAATATGCTGCAAGTATGGCCTCAAATTGGCGTCAATTGAAAGCGTCACAGAGGTCGAGTGCATTGTAAACTCGTCATTGAGTATGCAATTTTAAGAATAAAGTTTAAAAGCATAAAAATAAACAATAAATTGTTAAACAGATTTGAGTGTGCGGAGTTCACATACTTGGACATCAGCAAGTCGCCTTGGTTCTGGCAAATACGGGTGGTGTTCATCGGATACCCCTTTTAATTTGTCTCCAACCATCATTGATAAATACCCAGAGAGAAGCTCAATAGACACCATATTCTTACTGGCAATTAGGTTTGGTGTCGATATGAATTCCACAAACACGTATTTGGCTCAGGAGGATCTCACAAGTCTTGCATTGATCTTGTGCAAACCATAATTGTAGCAATTGTAAATTTTAAATCATGACACTTTGGCTCAAACATTATCTGAAAAATGCAAATACTGTCCTTACATAATTGGAAATTGAAAAATATAAATGCATAATGAAAGATCTGATCATTTATTATAAAAATCGTGTACTGTTATTGAATTCAGAATGCGAATTTGAGCACCAGTTGTTAAAATTTGTTAGCATAAAAAATTTTCTTTTAATCGTCAAATTAATTTCTACATTTTCAATGGCTTATAAAATACAATTAAATTTGCATCTTTTAACGCAGTAATAGTAATAGAAAATTAATAAAACTCAAGTCCCAAATTTTCATTTGTAAGATTCTCGGGCGTTTTATGCCTGCAGATTTTGCGCCATGGACCAAAATTTCAATGTGTCTGTCTGCGCTCGCGGCGAGAATCTGGGCTCATTTCCGCCCAAAGATTATTCACTTTGTACGTGTGGGACTAACTGCGTTATCGTGTTACACACAGATAAGAAACTTGATACTCGGGGCGAATAAAGATTCGGGCGCTCTGCTGTGCGCGTGGAGCTGGAAAACTGTGCTTGTGAATGGAGTTCTCTCAGCATGTGTGTCGTTGAGACGTGAACATTTCACAAAGTGCAGAACGGATTGTCAGAGTTGCAAAGAGCGACCGACTGGCCAGAGAAACTTGCAAAGAGCAATTTGCATTTGACGTTTGCCTTCAAAAGCGATGCTTTTTCTAATTACGCCTCCCAACAAACGCCGTCTATCTGTCGAGGGGCTACTAATTTACTGCCTCTTCAAGTCGAGGACGATGTACGAGTGCTCATTCGCTCGTCGATTTTCTCACAAAGTGAGTGAATTGTCAAAGAGAAATCGAGCGACCAGGGATTAAAATATATACGTGCATTCTTGCAAACGTAGTTCGCCGGAGAAATTGTATAAGACGGAGAACAAGAGACGACGATAAACTGTAATTTATTCTCCTAGGTTAAGTACGGCCGTGCCTATCAAAGGAGTGGATGAATTTTATGTTGTGTTGAGAAAGGTTGCTGAGGCTTTAGTAAATGAGAGATTTTATAACTTGTCTGGGAAAAGATTTAATTTGAACGACTCCTCGTTATTATTGTCGTTAAATTGGGATTTTTAAGAGTGATTAAATTGGTCCCTTTATTAGACCTAGCTGTACTTTTATTCATAATATCATAAAATATTTTAACCTAATTTTATTTAATTAGAAGAAAAATCTTATAAAACAATAAATATTATTACAATTGGATCCTATCAAATTACGGCAATTTTTTCCCTTTGCAAGTAATATTGATTAAAAGTATCGATTTGCATTAATATTTTTTTTCATAAGTTCGTAATCATTACTACGTGATGGTTAATCTTTTACGTTTAAATTTCATTTTAACGATTATTTAAGAAAAATAAACATTTAATAATTAAAACCCGTGCATCAAGGAATTCAAATAATCCGTGCGTGCAGCTTTTTTATTCCAAAGCTCGCCGCTTTGTCTCTGCAATGGCCAGGGGTGAAATAAAGCACGACTCTACTTCCTAATTGAATATCTCTGTTAATTCACTCTCAAAAGGCACAAGGGTGCGGAGGGAAAAAATAAAATATTGCGCCTGTTTCACTCCCCCCGCTGCCGTTTTCAAACTGCTGGTGCCTCTCTTTGCTCGTTCGAACGGTGCCGCGCGCGTCTGCTGCGCCCTAATGACGGCGACACGGGGGTGTTTTTCCCTAATGGGGGGGTTGTGCAGTGCACATGCGATGCACCCCCGAGGGCCGTCTGGGTGGCGCCAGTGGCATAATGACGGCGGCGCATCAGGTGTATTCCTTTTTTGTTTGGTCGGCCGGGCGTGTCCAAATAAAATAATGCACACATAACGCGGCCTACTCTCGACCCCGAAAGACAAACACACTCGAATTAATTTTGGCACCGTAAAAGGATTGCAAAAACTGCTAATATCTGGATATATCTATATATAATAAAACAGAATAAAAAAAATTATATAGAAGGAATTTGCATTCGAGACGATCATGGAAGTGTAAAACGCAGGGTTTTGTTTTCGTGTGAAATGAAAAAATTATGTTTTTTTTTCAGTTGCAAATTGTGTTTATTAAAGTGTTTTTTTACAAATTATTTGAGATATTATTGATTATAAAAAAAAAACAATCTTTTCAATGAGTACAAAGCTTCATTTCTTTTTTTTAATAAATTTTGTATTTTGATTTTAAAATAATATTATTTAAAGTAAGTGATATATTTCATTTTAAATGAATGTCAATTTTAATTTTTTAAATTATTGATTAATTTTAGTATTTTTATTTTATTTTTTATTCTAATTATTGATTAATATTGCCACTTTTTAGTTTCTAGTCTTGTTATATGCTCTATGAATTAAAATGCGTGCATTAAATTTTTATTTAAAATAATTTGTGCTTTTATCCAATTTAATTTTTCCATATCACAGCTTACCCTACTTTCTCGTTCGAAATTGACATTGAATGTTGTTCATGTATACTATCAATTAACTAATTATTTGAAGGCATAAAATAATATCTTTCGTTAATATCAAAGACGGAGAAGAGGAAAGTCTTTCACTATTTTCACGCCGTTTGCACAGCAGGGAGGAAAGAACCGAGTTGCGCGCTGGAAATCAATATTTGTTCTCGAGAGTGACCTCGAGGCACAGGGTGACGGACGAGACCTGAGAAGGCGCGCGAGGGGCACACCGAAGCCGCACACGTCCTCGCGTCATCATTTGCATATTTCTTGCCACTTGCGCATTCAAATTCATTTAAATTAATTCCCTCCCACACGGCTTTGACGCGAGTCGCGTGCCGAAAAGTCCATGTAGAAAAAGAGACGTTTAATTTGGTATAAAAAGTATCAATCCCGCCGAGCTCATTCAGGCGAACTGCGATAAAAATGAAACAGAGATTTAGCATTTTGTTATAAATTTTCTGTTTTTATTAATCCTGCTGCTTTGAACACAAGTTTTACATAACAGAGAGGAACGATTAGGACAAATTTTTCGTGAATTTTATGTGTTTGTTGTTTATTTCACGCGTGATACTGATTATATTTTGGGCTCTTGTTTTTTTGCGGCAGTCGTACGTGTGCTTGAATAACTTTTTGGAGGCCATCGTTGTGGAGTCAGTCGGCCATCGATCTGTTCACGCCGTGCATTTAAATAACACACATGCTGCTTCCTCACTCACCTAAAATCAATATTTCACAAGCACTCAAGGAATCTGTGTGAAAGGACGCCGCTTTGATGCATCGCAAGACAACTCCCAAAAGCCCTCAGGGCTGCACTCGCAAAATTCAGCTCCCGAGCGAAAATTTCATCAGCGCACCAGAGATGAAATTTGTCGCAGCATCACTCTCGCCCAAATATTTGTTTCCTGTCAAAACTCTGCATTTCATTTAAAAACTTCTCTTTTACGTTTAGTTTAAATTATATTTTTGACGCTTTGAATTACATTTATTAATTACATGCCACAAACGTTGTCAAAATAATTTTCATTCACGATTTTTATTAAAATAATAATTTTTTATTTACCATTTCAAAAATTTCAACAATGGTTAAATTAATATTTAAAGATGAACTTTAAAATTTATAATTATCCTATAAAAAAAGAATAATAATTTTCCCTGCATGAAAAGAACAACAAATTATGTTTTGAACTTTTTAACGTGTCTTATGAAATAATTTTTTTCAGCGTAATGAGTATGAGCTGAATTTTTTTCTATTTTAGAAGAGCTCTTTGCTCTTAGAAAGTTTTGGAACGAGGAAAAAGCACCCCTTAAATTGAAAAGTAACGCACAGGTTACTTCCTTCCAACTGAGGGCGACGACGCAAATAGCGAGGGGAAATTCCACGTCATAATTAACAAAGTTGGACAAATTAGGACCTTCTAGCCGCGACGACTCGGCGGCGTTAGGCGCTCTTAAGAAGCTTTTTATGAGCAGCCTCACTTCTTGCTCTGCAACACGAGCCACCCTCTTTTCCTCTTGGCGAGCCGTGTTTGTGCGACAGATAAGGGATCAGCAAGCAATTAGCTCGCCAGAGGAAAAATGCGCTCATCAAGATAAAAGCAGCGCTTCTCGGAAATTATGAATTCGGGCTCTAAATTCAGCCGTGTGATTTACGGCCAAGATGATTCATTCGCGCGAGTGCCACACCCGAGAGAAGCAATAAGAAAATTGAAAACTGCTGATTCTCTGAGGAAGAATGAAATTGCGTTTTTAATTATCCTTTTGAATCATAACTCACTCAGCCATAATTCTCCGCTTGGCTTATTTTTCTTTTAAATTAGCAATACTCGCCATATTTTCTGCTCTATTTCAATTTATTAAATTAGGAAGCATTGAATCCATTAGAAGTTAATTTAAGTTTTATAACCCAACCGTTGTTTTTTTTTAATTTAATTTAATTTTCTCAAGTGTCTCTTGATTAGCATAAAAGCTTTGAGACCAATGATAAATTTCAACTTAATTTCATTGAGTGTTTGTATCTCTTGTTGAGCTGATTGTGCGGCGAGATTGGCTGCGAGCTGCGCATCGGTCCTCGGGCATCTCGACGGCATTCAAATAGAGCGGCTGAGTGCAATGATTATCCATTCACGAGCGACGGACCGTTCGCCAGCACCATTAATTAAGCAAATGAGGATATTGGCTGCAATCGATTTCCTGCCTCGATATATATCCTCCTCTCTCTGGCTAAAATATATGCGCCGACGGAGATTATCCTTTGCCTTCAATGACAGTCTGCTGGGCACAATTATCAATTGGCTCCAGATGAGATTATCTCATGAAGAATGCAAAGCTAAATTTCAATGAGCGGTGCAATGTTTTGTCGCAAATTGTTTACATTCCATGGAATTATTTTAAAATTATATCATAAAAATAATTTTTTTTTCTCAACAAATCATAGGGGAATTACTTTTTTACATTCAATAATTGAAAAATAAAAAATTGGTTCCATAAAGAGAGGGAAATTTTTGAAGAAAAAGATGCCAGCATTTATTTCGCTTCAACTTTTTTTTTTGGCTTTGTTTATGAATAGGCTCGTGCATTTTAGTCGGTTTTTAGGGGTCAATAAGTCCACTATTTTTAGTTAATTTTACATAAATTTTGTCGCCTTTTTAGCTGATTTTAGCCAAAATAGTCGGTTTTAGTCGATTTTTTAAATCGGAATTTTTGAGCCATAAAATACATTAAAATATTATTTTAACCGATTTTTCGGAAATCTCCATTTTTCAAAGCATAAATAATAATTTATCACCCATTTTTCATCATTTTTAAATTTCCTAGAGCAATTATGCAGAACTTTGTGATTTTATCATACTTTATAGAATTTTTGTAATATTGTGTTGAAATATATATTTTGAAGACAGTTGCACAGGATAATTTAATTAACTGCGTGTTTTGATTGATATTTGTGAACAAAATTTATATTTTGTCGTAAAATTATGATTATGATGTTCTAAAAATGCTCACAAACGTGTTTTTTCCATTGTTGAAAATTATGAATTTTTCATCCTTCCCATGTTTTATTCCCTTTATTTAATTAAAGATTAAAAATAGATTTACTAAATGCTACCTTCAGTCGCTTGAAATAAAAACTGTATGCTAAAATTTTTTAAATATATAAATTTTAGCTTTTCAAAATATTTTTTGACAAAATTTTTTGGAAATTTTGTTTCAGTCTGGAAAAACATAGTTTTTGCTTAAAAAGTTGAAAAAGTCTGTCATTTTAGTCTGTTTTAGTCGGAAATTGAAGAAATGGTTGTAGTCGATTTTAAGTAGGTGCCAATTGTAATAAAATAACTTGATTCATACAGACAATGCATTTCCGTAATGTTCCGAGTGACGTGGAAAAAAAGTTGATCGACTAAATAACACGAGCCTATTTATGAAACGCAAAATATAATTATCGTATTTAAATCAAACATTTGAAAGATAAAATTACTTAAATTTAAAAGGAAACGGTTTTTAGCAAACAAAAAATTTGGTTCAAACAAAATGAAAGAACACTTTGTCACGCAGCACAAGAAGTTTTCGTCCCACTTTCGAACGGAAGTCCGATCGAGATCTGAAAGAGCCCTGTTGATGTCGCATGTGTGCAGTGAGTCTGTGTGTGTAAGCGGCGGATGACTCGGGCGGATCACAATCTTATCTGCCGTCTGCGAGAATGGCAATAAAATAATGTGCGAGGACGGGACGAGCATGCAGCTTCGGCGGCGGGCGGGCCGGCCGTCGCGGAGAACAAACAAAACCAAATCCCTGAGCGCGCGTCTCAAGGAATACAAAGTGTAGAAAATAGCACGAGCAGATTATGACGTCATAAATAGCAGTTTAGCGCGCAGTGTACACACAGCGGAGAGAAGAAGAAGCCGTCCAAAATCCGATGGGAGACCATATGCAAGAGTTTCTTCGGCGCGACCAAACTGTGGACTCGGACATTTTCCAGTATGTGCCCGGAAACACTTTCGACCGTGCAAAGAGAAAAAGAGCGAGCGCCTTTTTGCCGTCCTGCCAGACGCTGTGTCGACTCTCAAAGGGCTAATTTGCTATATATGGCTTTCCGTCTGTCTGTCTGTGGCCTGGAGATTTTTTGTTTGACGTGGCAAAAAATTTGGCACTAACACTCGTAAGCATAACCGCAAAAAGAGATTCAAAGTTTTGCATGAAAAAAGGATAAAAGTTCTTTATGAACTCTGCTTGCAAGGGGATTTGTGAAAAATAAGTTTAAATTTGAATTAAGTATATTAAAATATGTTTTTTGTGTATATTCAGCAAAATATGGCAAGTTGGTTATTAAGTTTTTCATTATAGTTGTAAATTTTATATCAATATTCATATTTTACTTAAAACGTTGCACTGCCACTTAATTGAAACTTTAAATAAATTTATATCATTAAGTGTATTTTGTGATATTTACTTTACTTTATCCAAGCCAGTTAAATGTACTTGCAAATTTTGATGGCAGATTTTGGTATACAAAAATAGTATTTAGCAAAAAACATCCCCAGGGAGATTTCTCTCAACAAAAATGTATTATTTTCTAGAAATAAGATCAAATTCAACACACTGTAGCGAATAAAATTTCCTTTTTTTATATTTTTGCTCTATCTATGCACTGTAATTTTGACCATTCCATTCGCCGCCCCTTTCATGTTGTGCACATTTATTTCGACGTTATCAAAATAAATCAGCTTCCTGTGTTGCCAAATTGATTTTTTTTGCAGCTGTTGGGCGTCATGTTACATTATTTAATTGCTGCGGCGTGCATTGATTTGTGGACAGGAAATTAATTCGCGATGATAAATTTGCTCGCAGCTGGGTGGCATCAAATAATTTAGTGCGGAGATGGGATTTGGTGCGAGGCATGGAGAGAGAAAAAGCGCGGAAGAAGAGAGATCTATTTCACCCCGCGTGTAAAACCAACTTAAGCAAGAGAAATTGTTGTAATATAAATTTACGGCAGTTTGCGGAAAAAGTTTAAAACTTTCTTGGAGTTGTTCGAGGGCGCGGCACTTCATGAACGAGTTACTTGTCGAGCTGCTCCAAACCGTCTTGCGGTGGAGAGAAATAATATTTTATTTTCGGTACTAAATAGCTGACTCAAAAAATAGCTTATCCCATTTTGGCTGCGGCGTATTAAAAGGGAGAAGGGTTGGAATATATTTTTGTAATTGTAGAGGTTCAGCTGTTCTTCAACCACACAGACGCGCCGGCGAGAGAATAGAGAGAAAATAAAGAAGGCGAGCGACGCCCTAAATTGGCAGCGTTGCGCCGGATTGTGGCGGAGAAGAAGAGTTGACCTTTTAAGGTCATGACCCAGAGCTCTTTGGCGTGCTCTCGCAAAGAATGGCGAGAAAAACATTAACAGCGAGCTTCAAGTGGCCTTGCTATTGCGGGAATCAAGCAGACGGCACATGCATGACATTACTTGATGAATCGGGTGCTTTACAATTAGCTTCGAGATTGCCTCAATGATTGAAATAACTTGATGAGATATGAAACTCAGAAAGACATTCTGCAGGGAACTAATGGTTACGATAATATTTTGAAACGAAATTAAGTTTAATTGCTTAGTTATCAAAAAGGAATAAAAAGCTTTTTTGATATTTTCTACGATTAATAAAAAGTATAACTTACAATTTGTCAAAATTTTCTATCAATGCAGACATCAACCAGTCTTCTGCTTGATCAATTTGTGAAATGAGTTTAAATGCATTTAAACAAGAAATTCCTTCATTATGAAAAGATGAAGATTGGATCTATTTATATAAGATGCTCAAATTTTCAAATATCCTAAAATTTCATGAGTATTAGATCTTGGTGTTGAATTTAAATCTGGCTTTTCCTTGATGGTTTTTTTTTTTGGAAAGAAAACAAAATATTCTTTAAAAAAAACTCACATAAGAACATCGAAGGAAAGCTGAATTTTAATTCAAATCACCATAAATCGATCGTGAACTTCTACTACAAAAGTATTAGATCTTCTCTTATAAAAAGTAGAGCAAAAGGTGAGCTGCACGTGGGGGTAGAGTAGACTTCCTGCCTGCCTCAGGTACGCTGCGTGTTGCATACCAGGGAAATCCACCCTTGCAAACGTATACGTTTATATTTCGTTGCATGAACCACTTTAAAATTGTTCAAGAGGTAGAAATTTACAATTAAGAAATTATGTCTTGTGTTCTAGATTACTCGTGTTTCTGCAGAGGAATGAAAAATTATTGGTGATTTTGGTAAGTTTTTATTTTAATTACTTGAATTACTCTTTTCTTTGCAAAAAATTCCCAAAAAAAGACAGAGATTTTGATATATTGTTGTAAAAAATTGAAAAACATCTTGTCAATAAGTGGCACTTTTTGCCCGCAACAGCGAGCATAAGAAAAATAATCCGTCGCTCATCGACGGCAAAAGCGGCGCTTTGACGGGATCCAGGATGTTTTCCGGCTGATGTGATTTGATCGATGGCCTTTCCTTCCACAATGGCAGCGAGAGAGCTCTTTTCGCGTGTGTGCGACAGACGCAATGCAAAAGCACCCAGCACTCTTGTTAATAAGTAAACGGGCGGGCCTGCCGATACGTTGGCGTCAGATTTGGGTCAGACGCGATCGAGGAGGGAAAAGTCGCCAGCGAGTCTGACCCGCTCGCCCCATAAAAAGCAGCCCCTTTGTTTGCTCACATGTTTACACAAAATTCCCTACGCTTTTTGTTCCGGCCGGCAAGTCACAAAAATCGCCACCGACACGCTACAAAAACGGCAACCAGAAAACGCACTGCCCAGAGATAAGCCGCGGCTATTAAATGCTGCTGTGCCGCCGAACACCACCCTTTGATGTTCGCCCGTTTTGAATGAAGCGTTGAAATACAACTAAACAAAAACAACATCCGTCTGTTCTACACACATTTGCGTTTTTCAGGGATTAGCCTCTCTCTCTGGTTTGACCAATTCAACATGCCGATCCAAATTTCATGGGCTTCGCTTTTTGTATATTTTCTGTCAGAATTTACTAAAAATAATCTGGCAGAGCTGAATTTAAATTTATACAAATAATATTTCAGTCTAATAACGTGTATATAAGTTTTGGTTTAAAATTAATTCTATATTTTATTTACAATTAATATTTTAGCATTATATTGAGTGACAAAATCGTTAAATTTGATTTTCGGTCAGTTTAATCAAATTCTCAATTATATAATTATTTTATATCCTTGAAACATATTATTTATTCAACATCTTTTCCTGCATTGATTTTGAATTTATACCGGCTTTGCAGATAAAGAAAATTCATTCTTAATACGATTCCGACTTATCGCGCCACCAGCAGACGCAAAAAATAAAAACAAAATAATATTAATCTGAAAATAAACCACGCACTGCCTGCCAACAGAAGACTTTTAAAATGAATTCCGCTTCTCTCTCTCTAGGAGAAGCCAATTGTTTGGTCGGAGAGCTTTTCCGAGTGAATTGTGTGTTGCGTCGGCCAGATTCGGCGGTGGTTGAAATATTTAGTGTGCTGGCGTATTGATTTGGCCGGTCGGTCGCTTTTATCAGGGCGCCCATCTCGAAGCGCGCGGCACGCGATCTGAAACACTATATTCACATTATGAATGTGTATTTATGCCGCATGACAAAGAGAAATATGCTAAATTATATTCTACAGCAGTTGCGGCCGGGAAATTAATGGCACAAATCCGATATCGCCCGCGCGTGTATGTGTTATTTATGCTGTGTTCGTTTTCTCCACCAAATTCCGCTCGCATGTGCGTCTGTCTGTGAAAAAGGGTCGAGTAATGAGTGACACTGAAATGCGAAAGGGAAATTCTTTGCTTAATATTGTATGCTGTGCAAGTACGCGTGCAAAGTGGACACGTGTTCTCGAACTGATATGGTCAAGAACAAAATAAAATGCGAAATTCTCGGTGATAAACATTTTTGCAATTACCAACTATTATGTTAAAATAATCAAACTTTTTTTTAAATAATCTTGAGCCAAATTTTATTTTCAATTTAAATACAGATAGTTGATCTTAGAAAAATAGATTATATATATTTAGTTTAAGGAAGACTTTCCTCATATAAAAACTAGAAGATATTGTTAAAATTATGGTATATAAGCTAATAACACCCTCGAATTTTGTAAGAATTTTAATTTTATTTTCAAAAATAACTATCTCTTTTTTATGCTACTTTTTAATCATATTTTGAAAGTTTATTAAATTACAATTTTTTGTAAGTTTAACTTGTTAAAAGTGATAAAAACCGTAAATAAATTTTATTTATAATATGGTAGTTTAAAATCAGATACAAGACGCAGTAATCCTTTTCTGAAGATAATGTTGATAATGTTATTCTAAAATGATTTTTATAAGGTGATAAGAATATAATTAATAAATAATCAAAACGAATATAAATTATGTATATTTTTGTTTGTGTGTTCAAATTTAAAAAAAAATACCATAATTAAATAATTGTTTAAATAAATAAAGATAAATTTAATATTAAAAAATAAAAAAAGTTCATGTTTAGTTAAATTATTATTGTAATGAGTTTGCTTGAATTTAAATTTTTGTATCTTTATATAAATAATAAAATTATTTAATTAAAATTTGAAAAATAAAAAGCATGAATATCTGAGTCAGGGCATTAATCTTCAATCAGAGTTGCCGGGAAACAAAGGGCAAAAGCGGCGCTCGTTTTTCGATGCATGTATCTGACCGGATAACAAGATAAAAATCGTGTCGCGGCCGCAGAGAGACAATGGCCGAGACATCAAAAGTTGATTTCACTACACGCAGGGTGTGTAATCGACATGACCGCGCGGCTTTTCTCTCTCTTTGAACAAGAGTCTCTCTACGGCCTGTACAAAGTTGAAAGAAAAAAAGTTCGATATATTCGTGGCGTGTATTTGTAAAAAAAAAACAAACAGCAAAACGAAAAATAAAATATGCTTCTCCACCTGTGTACCTGACAGTTTTCGCTCTGGAACGCACATTTTTCTCGGGAGGCAGGCGGGTCCGCTCAAAGGATTCGGTGTCCCGTGTGTGGGGGGCGACATTTTTAAGCTCGCGCGCACTCCAAATGTAAATTAGGCGGCGGCCTCCGTCGTCGCCGCAGAAACGCATGCACGAGAGAATGAGCGAGCACGCCGTGTACAAAACGCATTTTCAGCAAGAGGGAGATTTTCCGTTTGTTTCTCCGGTTGGAACCACATTAATGAGGATTTATATTTCAAAAGTCTGCATGTAAGCGGAGAAAGTTGCTTAAATATCATAGAGAAAGGCAAATTTTCAACCAGCTGAGGCTCAAACTTTGGGACACCAAATTTTGAGGCGAAATTTTAGATGCAAATTAAAGATATTTTCCTTTTTTTGTTTACTTATTATTTAATCTTTATTGTTGTTCTTTCAGAAGCGTATAACATCACATCATATTAATTTTTCTGACCTCAAGTTTTAATTTTTTCCACATTAGCAAAAATTTAATACACTTAATTTACGGAGCCCCTTATTGTACCTGGAAATATTTCCCTTAAGGTTTTGAGCAGTCTTTCCCCTAACCTTCATTTTTCCTTTCCTAAAAATACTACTTTCAAATCATTTCAAATGCTGAACCATAATTCCCTCCATACTATGCGATATTGTGCATTATTTTAAATTTAAAAAATATAATTCTACAAGTTTGGATTTTATAGATTGATGTGATGCTTTAATAATCTATTGAATTTATGATGACCACACACACATGCTGGTACTAGAATCATTTTAGAGTGAAATCAACTTATTAACAAATTTTTAGAGGTGAGCTTGTAAATTGAATTATCAAATTGTTAAAATATTTTAATTGATCCATGTTTATACTTCTTTGGTTTTAGTTAACTAATATATAAAAATCTTGTCAATAATTAAATATTAAAAATAAATTATTAAACGCAAAAATTTAATTAATAACAAATGTGAAATGGTAAAATTTAAATAAAATATTACAAACAAAATTAATTAAAAATAAAACAATATCAGGTTTTTAGTTTCTTATAAAAGAAAACGTTAACTTATCACTTTCAAAAGGAAGAATGTATAAAATTAATAAATTAATCAAAAATTATATTCAAAAACGTTTTAAGAGGAATGAAATAAATGCTTTTAAGGATTCAGAATTTAAGGGAAATAAATATAGGACAAAAACGGTGACTCTTATTTTATTTTTAACACTTTTCCAATTTTCCAAGGGTGCGTGGCTTAAGTAGTTAAAAAGCAGCACCGAGTGTACAGAATTAATTTGTATTTCCAAAAGAGGTTGATGCCTTTATTAGGTCGTCGAGAGGTTTCGCTGACACAGAGATATCTTAAGATGGTAAAGATAAATTGGTCGGCGAGCACGGCGCATGAAAACGCGGAAGAAGCACCAGTCCTTCTCGTTCTTCTTCTTCTCTCTTGTATTATCTTCAGTCTCGTTCGAGAGCAAAAAAATATTCTTGAGAGCACGTCTCTGTGTGTATTTGTATAGCTCAATTTGTTATATTTCTCGGTCGCGCTTGACAAATTGTGGCGATTTCTATCTGGCCCTCTGCATGTCCGCACACCGGGCCGCAGATAATCAATTTAAAATATTGCTCGGCCACGAAATATCAACTATTGCGACTAGAAATTCAGGTTCCGAGATGAGGATGAGAGATGACCCCTATTTTAATTGTCACGCCGTCTCGCAGCAGCGTCGTTTAATCATCCAGCATTAGGCGAGACTTTATTGCTGCCAATGAGAAGCGAGAGACCGCGACTGTTTATTAATTTTATATTTCTTCGCAAGAGGCATTCAAAGCAAGAAAGGGTTCAACGCTCGGATTACTTTTGAACAAACGGGACATAAATTTCACAAAAAGCTAAACGTGAAATCGTATTCATAAAAAATAAATAATATATTGCGTTGATTGTGAGAAAAATTTATGTCTTTCATGCAAAAATCCAAAGGAATGAAACTGCTTCTTAAAATAGAAAAAAAAAATTATAATTGTAACGGTAACGGTAAACCTCAGATTTTTAATTATACCGTCTTAATTTTTATTTTTAATTTTTTTCATTGTGAACCAATGAAAGCTTTTTTGGTTAGAAAAATGTTGAGCAACAGGAAAATTCGCCTTTCCTTTTTTGTCGAGTTGCTTGACAATTCGCGACATATTTGGCTTCTCTCTATACTTCTGTGTCGCTCCTTTTTTTCCTCTTGCAAATTAGATCGACTGTAATTATTACCTTAGCGAGTGGTGGTGTTTCATTGTCTCTGCGCATTGCCAACCACCCACGTGTGCACGAGAACAAATGTACATGTTCAATTTCGGCCGACAACGCGCGGCGAGTGCCGCACCGCAGCCGTAAATTATTCGCTCTGGGTTTGGTTTCGCCAATTGCGAAAGTTCATATTTTCACATGATCAAAACTAGTTTGCCGGCCCGATTATTTATTGCCCTTTAACCGACGCATTTGCTCCCACCAGCCAGATGGGAAATAAAAATAATGCATGGGAAAACGTCTCATTTCATATCCCACTAGCGCAAATATTGTTCTCTTTTCCTTCTGACAGTTTTAAGAAAACATACTTTTTGCAGAGGTTCTGCTGCGAGACTGAAATTAATAACAGGATGGAAAGCAAACATTTCCGAGAATCCTTTCATACACACACTTGCAATTAAGTGTCCGTCTCAAATGGAAAACTGACAGGCCCGCAGTGCATGTGAAAAGATTTAACAAGGCGTTGAAAATCGAGAAGATGAGCCGGCGCTGTTTTTCTGTTTGTGCATAATTAGAGGAAACAAGTCGAGAGATGACGCGTGACGAATGATCTCCTGCCCGCTCGTATTTCACAAACCGAGTTTGTTGCGCCACACCTAGGCAACAAAGCGCTTTATACCTATTATGACTTTGCGCTAATGCACCTGAAACAATAATCCGAGGGAGGAGAGAAAATAAAAATGAATAATTAAAAACCTCATTTTTTAAGAAGAAACCTTTTTTAATGTTATCATATGCTTGTCAATGTAATTTAAGTCGTCTACTATTTATTATTAAATTATTTAAAACCATAGCTAATTTTTTATTATTATATTTAATTAGCGGGTCAAGCCGCATTGACTAACTGGTGCCAAAACAAGCAGGACAACCGTTGGGTTTTCAGTTAGCCTCTAGAAAACTAATCCTTTTTTTATATAAATCCAGGTTTTTTCAGCTTGAAATGAAATATTTGAGTTAAAATAAGCATAATTACTTCATCTTTAGATTACAAAAAAAAAATAGTCATATCATAAAAAATTTCAATATTTTTTTGTTATTCTTTTTTAACAAGAGTGTATCAAAACTCGCGTCAAAGGAAATGGACACCAACGGAAATGCGTCAGGTAGCTGAAACACACTATTCGATGTCATTTTGTCATTTCATGAAATTTAGAGAGCTGAATGGAAAAGTTTTAACACTCTTTTAAATAAGATGGCTTCAACCATTAAGTTAATTTTAATTTTATATACTGTTTTGGTAAGGAAGATAGTTTTTAGATTAAAAATGTTAGGAAACAACATATTTGAATTTTAGATTTTGTGCAACTCCAGCGCGAAACGTCAAAAAGGACGAGCTTATAAAGGGCCCAAAAAAGGATTTGGTGAGCAAAAATATTTGAAAAGCATCTCAAGTAATTTTTTCAAATAAATTGATTTTTTTCCCAAATAAATTGTATCCAACTATTGAATGTAAACGATGTGATGTAACAATTTGAGCAAATAAACAACAATAAAAATAATAATATCGTTTGAAATTTTAAGTTTCAAACAGACGGACTTATATCATCAAGTGCTGCGGAAAATCATCATGCATAAATCATCTATTTAATAGCTCAAAAAGTAAATCAACAACGTCTAGAAATGTAATACTTTGTATTTTAAAATAAAGTTACTTAAATATTTTCATTTTATAAGATACCTCAAAGCATGGTGCCAACAAAAGTACAGTCAACTCCCGAAACTGATGGTATATAAATTAAAAATTTTATATTGTGGACAAAATAAGAAAGCAGCAGTAATGAGGCTAACATATTATATCCTCCTTAGGATATGAACTGACTACCATTGCTTTAGAGAATAACTTTGAAACAGAGATGGCATCAGAAAAATCCGAAGAAATTTCAACAATGAATTTATATCAATCAACAACTGAGTTTGAAATATCGTCAATTCCAAAATCCATTTTGTCATCTATTTCAAGCGATGTTTTGAATTCCCCAAGCAGTGAAAGCGGTTTTTCTCTTATCACAACAGCGTCCAAAAGTGCATCTTCAGACTCAACTTTAGTCCCAAATATAGCTGCTGACAGCACAACTGGCATTCTAGACGTTTCCCTATATTCTGGTGTCCTGACATCAAACAATTCACCAATATTTTCCCCAAACACTTCAAATCCATTAATATCGGAAAAGGCTACCTCGATGGAAACTTTGGCAATTTCATCGACCAAAACCTCTACTGATGTACAGACTACAACAACCACACAAACATTGACTACAACAACTATCACGACTACAAGTACAACCACTACCACGACCAAAGCCCCACTTTTTTGTGCAAAAGATGTAATTTAAACGAAATATTCCATTAAATTTTTTGCATTAACATTTATACAGGCGAAGATGTTTTCTAACCAACACTTAGTGGGTAATTTTGTTTTTTCCTCTGTTTGCAAGATGTAATAATTAAACATTTAATCAGACGCCGATTCATATGGACAATGGAAGGAAGCTTGCGGACATTTGTTTTTGTGGGGAACTAAAGCTGTAAGCAATTAAAATAAAGAAAAAACGGTGAACTATAATAATTATTATCTAAATTTATTTACACTATACTTGAAAATTTAAGTGATTTTGAGGGAAAATAACTTGTAGGTTACGTGGCAAGAAAATCACGACCTTTGCTGTAGTTTTGGAATGATGCCAATCATGATCGAGAATGATACAAAACGCGAATGTCTAACAACTCTTGCTAATTGTAAGCTATAATTAATGTTAAAATCTACAATTTATTTCAAAGTTTCAAGCATCCGAGTGGAGATTCAGTTTCAACTACTGGACGTATGGGCGCAAATTCCGCGAGAGCACATCATATTGGTGGTGTCAAAAAAACACCACAATAGAAAGCAACTCCACACTGTGGGCGCCGAATTCTTCAAAAGAGTCTGATGGGTGCATCAACCTTTATATAAACAAATCGGTGACGATATATTCCAAGAACTGCTCCAAACTGTATTCATTAGGATGCCAAGTAAATGAGAAAAATATTGTCATGGTAAAAATGTTCATATTTTTCAAAGGGCCAACCAACTGCAGCTCCTCCATGCTATAAACCTCAATGCCCGCAGCTTAAATGTGAAAAAAATGTAATGTAACAAAAGTTGCAAAAATTATTTACGTATTAAAAAATTCTTGTTTTTTAGCAAACATTATTCACAGCGGTGAATCAGGATGGCATTTATCAGATTCTATTAGGTATATTTTCATGGAGATTATATTGTTGTTAGTAAAATGCATCTCGTATTTTCTCAGCTCCATTTACACATGGTTTTTGGTATACAATTAACACAAGAACCTACTTATTCAGCACTATTGAAGTGACAGTAAATTTATTTAAATTTAAAAAAAAAAACGTTTTTAAAATATATTTGATTTCAAAAGTGGCTTGATGCGATGATAGCCTGTTGCTCAATCGGAATGAAACTGCTCAGCATTGAGTATGACTATGAATATGGGAATTTACTCGAGGCAGCGATAAGTATAAAATATTTTTTTATTTTTAAAAACAAATTTAAAAGTTTTTGTTTTTAAAGATTCCACCAACGCAACTGGAAATTTTTGGACATCAGGAAGTGATTCGGGGTGTGATGGAAATTTTGCTTGGTGCTCCGCCAACGTTTTATTCCGTGGTAGACAGACTAGTTGGGGTCCTGGGGAACCAAACAATCTCGATGGAAAAGAGCATTGCGTTGTTGTCCAGTTGAATAAAACTTCAGGGATTTTATTCGACCGTGATTGCTCTAGCAAATTAAAATATATTTGTGAGGCCAGGGACACAAGGAATGCCAAAATTAATGGAGAAGCAATGCTTGACGAGTGTGGGATGATTTACAATATTTCCAAAGGCAATCACTACTTCTAATGATTATTTTTTTTTTTAATAAAATATTCATTTTATGTATTTTAGATGAAGCTGATTTAATTTTCAACTTCAGGACTACCAAACTTTCTACCAAACTAAAAGTTACCCTTGTTTTTAAATATATAATTTTACATAATAAATAATCTAATTTTCAGTGCTTTTTGAAATGCATGGGTGAAAATGGAGGATTTGTAGGATTTAAATTAAATGTAAAAAATATTCCTAAATTTTGTTTGCAGATGTGGAATGGAAAACTTGTTGATGAGAAAGTTATAGCTTTGATTGAGAAATTTTCAAGCAGTGAAACAGAGCTGCAGGAGAACATGGCTGCACATCAAGCGTGTAGCTCGAAACGTAAACTTTATGATGATTCCATTCATATATTTTTATTTAAACAAAACTACAGGTGGCATGGATGATTGTGATACTGCATCCTTGATTTTTCAGTGCACTCAAGAAAAAGCTCCAAAGCTCTTTGATAATATTCTTACCGCTGCCAAAAATGATCCGTTGGTGGTTCGTTTCTCAGGATACTTTTTAAATTAACTTTAAAAGTTCAAATTTTTAAGGAGTTTGCCCCTCTTCAGTCTATAACGCACAAATGCGTGACTAAATATGATTGTATTGTTGACGTAAGCAAATTTCAATTTATTTTGTTATTAAACAATGCTTCAAACGTTACAAAAAATTTAAGCCTAACCTCAGGGATGATTATTTACTTGAACGACGTAAGTTTTTTTTTCAAAATAAAACTTAATCCAGATTCACGAGAAAAATATTCTCCGTGTAATAATTTAGATAATTATTAAAATAATAAGTTTACAGCTGTTGCGGGCCGTCAATATTTCACAGCTTGTGGCACCAAGTACTTGCACACTGTAGTTGGGGTAATTTATTTTAACAATTTAATCAGGTATTCAATAACAAAAGATTTAATTCAAAATATAAATGTAGGGTGGCTATCTATTTTCGCAATCCTTGTGCTGTAAATTCGGCCTCAAGTTAGTTTCATTTGAAAGCGTCGCCGAGGTAGAATGTATTGTTAACTCATCATTGAGTAAGATTTCCAATTCAAACACGTCGAAATATTTTAAAATTTCATAAAAATAGATGCGGGCGCTCGGAACTGGCACACATGGATGGCGGCGAGTCGCCTTGCTTCCGGCAAATTTGGATGGTGCACGTCAAATTCACCTTTTAATTTGACTCCAACCATCATCGACAAGTATCCGGAACGAAGCGGATCGAGCACTATTTTTCTTCTGTCGATTAAGTTAGGGGTCGATATGCATCCGAATAATACTTACTTTGCTCAGGAGGAGCTTGGAAGCGGTCTTTATTTGATGTGCAAACCGTAAATGGAAAATAATGATCATTTTTTAACGGTTTGGATAAAAATTAAATAAATATTCCTTACCACAACATTTAAAAGTATGGTAATTTAATTGTACTAAAATAAAGCCTATTAATTTATACATAAAATAATTGAGGGACAAAATGTGAAATTTGACTTACTTTTTGATCTCAGTTTCTTTAATTTAATTATGCCATAGGAAACAATAGATAATTTTTTTTCTATTTGATTTCCTCAAAGAATCAGCAAAGAGTTTTTAAAGTATTTCGATTTTGATGCCAGCACAAAAAACGCATAAAGAGAACGTTCCGGCCATCAGGTTAATTTGATACCGGCGCGTTAACAGCCAATTTTGGCGAACGCCCCTAGAAGGGTTAATGATGTTCAGGGTCACCTTTCAGCATTCGCCCTGAGCCCTCCTTATGTGATGTGGTTCTAAAAAAGCGGACGAGGAACCATAAAAACGGCAATAGGTGTCGGCGCGGCTAAAGGGGCCGCTCGATGGCTAGATTGTTATTATGTGCCGTGTTGCTCACTTGTTCGCATCATTAGCACAAACGAGCCAGCATGTACCGTGTGTGCACCTCTGGGCCGCCGAGTGCAGCCCTAATGAAGCAGCGGCGACCCCTAATCAATCACATGCACGAGAGAGACACGCAAACACACTATTAATGCTGCACACAACTCGTCCCCGCGAATTAGGCACTCAATTAAAATTCCACCTCTCGCAAAGGCAAAAGACGAGAGCGTCGCTTTCCCTTTTCGTCACGGATTTATTATGTTTGCGACTTCTAAACTTGGAATGGAATTTCGTTTCGTGCCTTTCTGGATTTGCACCTTGGCCTTGGAAGTTTTAATAGCGTTAGGCAAATATTTTTTTTTATACTTTTCATCGAAAAAGCTTTTTTGATGTGTAGAATTTATTTTTGAAGCTAATTTAATTTACCTGATATATCAGAAATACAAAAGTACATCATTTTTTCCAGTGAGAAATTTTCAAATTCTTAATTCATAAAAATGAGATGCAGTAAAAAAATTGGTGCGCCGATGAAGTATTCTTTTGTATTAAACAAAATTAAATGTTTCAATAGTTCCAACGTTTTTGCTTAAAGATCCACTCCGGTCATTTGTATTGCTCTTTATTCTGAAAGATTGCTAAATTTCAAGTATATCTTGTGAAAACACTATTTGAAAATTCCAAACCGTGGCGTCTCAATCAAAAGAAAACCTAAATACGAGTGATTCGCGCGAAAAACGTGTGAGAATTGATTAGCCAATCAGATCCATCAGTTTGTTTCAAAAACTACAGAATTTGGTCACATTGGCGCTGCGATCGCTGATTTTGCCACTAATGCCCCACGGCGCTGCAGAAAACTTGGCAAAATCAGCGATCGCAGCGCCAATGTGACCAAATTCTGTAGTTTTTGGAACAAACTGATGGATCCAATTAACAACTCAATTCTCACACGTTTTTCGCGCGAATCACTCGTATTTAGGTTTTCTTTTGATTGAGACGCAACGGTTTGGAATTTTCAAATAATATTTTCACAAGATTACTTGAAATTTAGCAATCTTTCAGAATAGAGAGAAATACACTTGACCGGAGAGGATCTTTAAATAAATTATGCACAATCAAATTTAAATAAAAAAAATACAACTTCTTGCATTTTTGTTAAATCTTTTTAATAAATAAAAGGTTTTAATTTAGCAACTTTTGAATTTTCAAAACAAATAAAAAACGAAAAGAAACTTTTATTGTATGAATTTATTTAAAATTTTACCAAGATAAATGGGCTAGTTTGTAATTCATTAATTATTGATTTTTTAAGTACGCCTTTAATGCGTCGCCAAAAAAGCAGTTAAAGTCTGCAATTTTCCTGTGCTATAGTCAAACAACAAAAGCATTAAAGTCTCAAAGTTCATTAGTTCTCCCCGTGGTCCTGACGGGCACATTTGGCGAAATTTACGACCTCTTGATGTCGGACGGCCGGCGTGCGTTATTTCAATTTGTACACCTAAATTGCGGCCATTCATAAATATAAAATTACCAACAACATTTTGGTGTCCGTCGAAGCGGCGGTGGTGAGCATTACAATAACAATGCAATCTGCTGGGCGTGCGCGGCAATTTATATAACTCGCAGGCAGTTTTAGTGTGTGTGAATTTCAGCCCGCTGAAATAAATAATGGTGATTAATCGGCCCTCGAGTGAGAGCGCCCGGCGACGTCAACTGCACATTAAAAGCGAACGCTCAAAATGTAAAAAGTCATATCGCACGCTGGGTGATTGTTTCGGCGACCAGCGGATAGTGTGCTCGGCCAACATGATGCACACGGCAATAAAAAAGCGCCCCCCGCAGATGGCGACGACGCTCTTTCCTCGATTTTTATTGCCACTCGAGGTGCTCGTCTCTCTGTCAGGATTTTTTACATCGCACCATTTCTCCTTAGGCTGAAGATTAAAACTCCTGATTAGCTGGAAAACTCCAAAATCGGATTTCTTCATCAACTTACCAAAAGTAAAAACAGATTAAAACGAATATTTTTTACAAAAATTATTATTTAACGTAATTTAGAAAGAAAATTTTACCATTTCAATAAATTTTAGTGTTTTTTCCATTTATTTGATATCTTATTTAAAATTAATTGTTTATTTTTAAAATATATATTTTATTTAAAAAAATGTGCATTTGTTATTATAATTATGTGCTATTAAAGCTTTTTAATCCTACAATTACATCAAATTACTATAAATTTAAAAAATTTAGTGATCAAGTTGAAGCATGAAATTAAATTTACTGAAAAGACTATCAAAATTTGATGTACACAGTTAATTGATTTTTACAGATTAATTATTATATAAAAATTTAGACTTTGAAATCCACATATTAATATGAAATTTATGCAAGTCAGCTTAGTTTATATATAAATTGAAAAATCATGAGCAGTTAGTTTGACAAAATTCTCGCGCATTATTCATCGCGAATGGCAATTGAATTGGCCATTATTCTGTCTCGGCAGTTTGCGCGACAAAAGGGCTACGCTCCATACATCTCAAGCAGGCAGGAAGTGGGTAGGGCAGCCGGCGATTAGCAGCCGATGCATTTTTGTGCGTTACACAATCCTGGTCTTAATCCTCGGCCGCGACGACAACAAAGGTCGTCGCTTTTTATTGTTCACAGTGTTTTGTTGAGCCGAACCAGATCAGCAGCCCAAAAATATAGTAACATAATTTAATATTCTAAATCGAGCGCGAAGGCTTGGCGAACGAGATAAATCAGGGTTATTTTACCAGGCACATATATAAAGCGAAAAAGCTGTGCTGCCGAGTTGATTATCTGCCTCGGACAGAAGGCTCAATAAATAAAATTGATTGTTGTCGGTCTGTGAGGAGAGTGAGGCTTATGTACCTATGTTTTCATTTTTACGACGGCCGCGAGTGGGTGGCTGAAAAAAGTATCAGCCAAAAACGCTACCAGCATTTTTTCTTTTACAATATATTTATGTGCGTAATGCACGTGGACGTTCTCGCTCCGTATCATCTGGATTTTATTCTTTATGCCACGGCCGGTCGGCTGCCTGCTTTTCACGGGCATTTTATCTTTTTAGTACCCACTTTGCCGAAATGAGATCGAGAGAAATGATATCGGAGATAAATCAACTCTCTCGGCTTTACCTCTTCATTCTCTTCTGCTTCAAGAGTTCTCGCAGAAATAACACTGCTGGAAATGAATTGCATTGCTTCTGAAACTCCGCAAAGATGTATTGTAAGCAAATTTTTTTTTTAATTTTTCCAAACAAAATAGATACCAAAAAATTATGAAATTCATGTTAATAATTTAAATTGTGTTTACCTAATTTGAATAAGTCAAATCAAAATATTTTTTTAATTGATGAGGGAAGAATTAAAACCACGAAATAATTAAAATCGAAACAAAAAAATGTTTATTTTAGTTATTTACAAAGCTGAAATCAGTTCAGCAACATTTAAATATTTATTGATAATAATTTTAAGATTTTCAGTCATCAGATTATCATCTCTCCGCTTCACAATCCCAAAGCAAAAAGGTGCCAGGCCATAATTGCCCATTATAATAAGTGGTGCTGGAAAATTGAATGTTGAGGAGGAATATAAAGGAAATAAAAGGCTCGTCCATAAAAGGCGGCGCACGCACTTTTCCCTTAGAGAATTCTTTCCTCTTTACGCTGCAAATGAGTTTCGTTTCCCACTCTCGCCCGCAACCCTTCGGAGAGTTGGAAAAATAAGAAATCGGCACACCTTGCGAGTGCGGCTGGCGGGCCGTAAAATATATACGCCAGCAGGAGCAGCAAATAAAGGCCTCAAAATACACACGCAGGCCCTTCTGAAAATCCAAATGGGAAAACTTTCGGCGCTTGATTTATCTATCCGAAGAGAAAAGCGAGGAAATTGATTTTGAACGCGGCTAATTCGGAGCAGCAAGCGAATCGAATAACCTAAATGGACCCACTAACAGTTCGAGATAGATGGAATTGTGGTTCTCTCTCGTGTGCGTGCCTTACCATTGGCATCACCGCCGCGGCTATTTTGACTAAAAGCTGCTGCTTTTTCTAGGGGCTCTCGCACGCCAGCTTTTTATTTTTATTTTTAAGGCAGATCAAACAAAATTTACCGCGACTGCTGCGCTGAGAGCAATAAATAAATCAGCGGCCAATTAAACGCGATGCTTCTTTTCTCTTGCTTGGCCGCCAAGTTGTGAGAATATCCACAGAAAGCTTTTTTCAGTTTTATTTTTTCTTCCGATTGTACTTTGTGCTTTTCGCCTGGCCACGCGCTTTAAGATGATAAATCGCAGCAAAAGTCATGTTTTATTAGCTCGATTAATCACCGCCAGCTTGGCTGTTTGTGATCGGGTTTTACTTTTTGCCCAAGCGAACTTTGAAGAAATTAATTTTCTTTCCAATCCCTCGCCACTTGTTTGATAGATGATTTCGCGTTTTCCTTCATTTTATGCTTTTTATCGCCAGTTTGAGTTATGGGTTTTGAGTATAAAAGCTTTTGCCATTCGCAATTAACCGCAACTAAATCAACAATTTAAACTAACCAACTTTATTTTAAGTAAAATTGTTATCATTATGCAATTAAAGAACCTCTCCGATCACTTGTATTGCTCTCTATTCTGAAAGATTGCTAAATTTTGAGCATATTTTGTGAAACACTGTGTGAAAATTCCAAACCGTTGCGTCGCAATCAAAAGAAAACCTAAATACGAGTGATTCGCGCGAAAAACATGTGAGAATTGTGTAGCCAATCAGATCCATCAGTTTTTATCAAAAACTGCAGCATTTGGTCACATTGGCGCTGCGATCGCTGATTTTGCCTAGTTTTCTGCACAGCGCCGTGGGGCATTAGCGGCAAAATCAGCGATCGCAGCGCCAATGTGACCAAATCTTGCAGTTTTTGATCAAAACTGACGGATCTGATTGGCAACTCAATTCTCACGTTTTTCGCGCGAATCACTCGTATTTAGGTTTTCTTTTGATTGCGACGTAACGGTTTGGAATCTTCACACAGTGTTTTCATAAGATATGCTCGAAATTTAGCAATCTTTCAGAATAGAGAGCAATACAAGTGATCGGAGAGGTTCTTTAAGTAATAAGAAATAAATAAAAAATTACGAACATAATTAATTCGTATAAATAAAATAAATAAATAATTTTGAGAATTTTCTAAACCTTGCCTTTTCGTCTCAAAATAAAGCTCTTTTTGTCTTCACTGTTCGGCGGTGCTAAGGCAAAGACTTTATTGTTAGACAAAGTCAATAAATTTGCTGTCAGCCCAACAAGAAAGTTGAGCTTCTCCCGCGAAGGTGTGTGATAAATGGAGGTGTCAAAAGGACCATAAAAATTAGAAATTACAGTCCCTGGGCGCCGAATTTCGGTCACAAAGTGGCATTCTTCCAGCAGATAATTAGCAGTCGAACCGCCGACTAATTAGTCCATCAATCAGCCGTGGCGTAAATTAAATGAGAAGAAGACGTAGAGGGCAGCGCGACTCCCACACGCCAAAATATGAAAACACTCCGTGGGCAGCGAGAAAAAAAATATAGGAGTTCTTCGGCGTTCCTTATGGTCGAAATGCGGCTCGCAGGTTGTTAGCGGACGATTAAAATAATTTACAACGAGTCGGCAGAGATTGCCGGTCTGTGCGCGAGAGAGAGAGAAAGAAAGAAGATAGATTTATTCGGCGGGTAATAAATGTAGGTAGATGAAGATTATAAATTCAGTGTCACGACTTGATCCTATTAAAAAGAGCGAGCGAACGGTGCGCGTCGCCCTCTCCTCCACTCTCGCCTGTGACAAGAATGAATTTATAGCTACACATTTTAATGGAAACCAAATTAACGGGCCAGATAAATTATCCGTCGGCTGGTGCCTTGGAGACGTGGAAATTTAAGCATTATCGCGAGCTTTCAAAATTTGCAAGCAGACAAAAAATTCTTATAACCAATATTAATATTGTACAAAAATAATTAAAATGTTAAAGCGTTAAAGCGTTAACTTTAAAATTAAATTATATGTTATTAATATTTTTATTTTTAATTATTGAATTATAATTATTGAATTATATTTATTGATTTTTTGTTTGTTTGAAATAAACAATTTTAAATAATTAAATAAATAATTTATAACTTGTACCTATTTGTGTACCTAATTAATTTTTTTATTAAAATATAAACAACCTAATTCATTAAGAGATATAATTAATTCTCAAAATAAATTTCAACAAAGTCTTTTTGGTTGTTTACCTCTTATTGCCCGGTTACAAAGTTGAAAAATGTATATAATTAAATAAACATTTTGACATTATATTCATAGATTGCTTCTTTACGTTTTACATCATTGTACTCTGATGAGGTATTTTCAATAAACTATATATAAAAAATATGGAATTTATACTAAAGATATATCAAATAATCCGTAACAGATATTAATTTTGCATAAGTTAAGGCCAGCTGAACTAATTTGTCGCCCACATGTGATTTAAGCGTTCCGACGAGTTTTTAAATGCGTGTCCGCACCAGTCGTAAACAGTGCGGGATATATGGTATTTTTTTTCCGGCTTGGTGTATTTTATTTTTATAGAGTTGTCCCATCTCGTGCTTTATCTCTGCTTTCGGCTACTTATCTTCCGCGCCAATTGCCAAACAAGCCGTGGCGCACTCTTTTTAAGCCGCCTTGACAGCAGATATCGATATTTTATAGTCGCGCGCGCCGCCGATCCACAGAATGTGTAAAAAACGAGGCAGCGCAAATGAGAAACTCTCGAGTGAAAAATAATGCTGCTTCCCAAATAAGCTAACGGCGCTCTTTGATGTGCTTTTTTTCGGCTGAATAATAAAATTTACAGTTTACCAAAACCAATTCCGAATTCCCATTTTTTACTTGCATTATTTAACAAAATTTATTTTTAATTTAATTTCCTTATTATATTATGCTCTTATTAAAAATTAACCTGCAAAAATCCCTTTCTATACTAATTCAATTCTCTTGTCTGGTTGCAGGTGCAAAAAATGAAATGAATTTGGCGTGATTTTTGGCCAGAAGTGGCCAAGACTGCAGGACAGAGGACCAATCGTGGACCATGCTTTCGGCGCTGGTGCTCCTCATTTTGTACTTGAATCTACCCTTTTCTACTCAACTCGACCTTTGTAAGTATAATTCGAGTTTAAAATTTTTAAAAATGTGTGAAGCTCTCATAATATTTGAGCGCAGAATCTTGAGAGAAATATTAGGAGCATTTTTTGTTATTCATAAATTTCCTTTTATATTTATGCTATGAATTATATTATTTATTGAATAATAATAATAATTGAAATCACAAAAGTAGAGCTTTCCGATTCTTTTCTGAAAATGAAATAGAACTGTTCGAATCAAGTCTTCCTTAACCAACACCCCGAATTGAGTGAATTTGGAACTACACTATAAACTACATTTCAATTATAATAGTGTTTGGAGTGCGGGGTCTGAATGCTCAGTATTATTTTGGCGAACAAACAACCAAATATTTACACTGGAACTCCACTTATTCGACCGCAGCCAGCGGCGCCGCCCATCTCGCTGCACCCGTGAATAATTAACGCGCAATAACGCGTTCAATTCCGAGGCAACGCTCGCCCAGGGGCCCTTCCGACTTCTTCCTACGCCCGAACCAAACTTCCTCGGTGTCCCTGCGCGCGAGAATGGAGCCGCTAAGATTAATGCGCTAATTAATTGATGACCTGTTGGAGCGCACACACTGGATAAATATTTAATTAAGCGCACGGCTAATTAAACGGGCGTCGCTCTCCGTCGGCGCACAATTACGAATGTGTACATTTCCCAAATGCACTTGTGTTTGCGGCTCAGCCTTAACGAACCCTTAACAATATTATTAAGACCGAACGGGCGCCCTCACACGCACGGGGCGTCGTAAACAGAAGTTGTCCAGCGACAGACACGGAGGCAAATTCGGCTCACTTTTAGTGCCGCAATGTCTGCCCTCAAATGAGATTTCCGACCGGGATAATCCCTTTTTGTCTTCTCTCGTCAAGCGCTGCTTTCCGTCTGCGGCGGTTATTTTGAGGCAAATTGCCCTGCCTGTGCTAAGCTCATTCACCGAGACCGACGCCGCTACTTGAAAAGCCGCAGCCGACCCGCGTCCGACTAACTGACTGACTTTCTTGGCTCCTTCAAGAGGTTCGCCAAATTCGCAAAGTGAAGTGAGTCTCTATAACAGAGTCCAGCGGCAAGAAAAAAGCCTTTCTACTCTTTCAATTGGATGCAAAAATAAATGTGAACAATTTGTTTCCAACAAAAGAAATATGTTTAAGATTTTAATACCAGAATTAACAGATAAAGGATGACATAAAGGAATTCTAAATTGTTGCATATGAATATTTTGCTATAATTTATTGCATTAATAATGTTAAGAAAATATCGAATATTCCTTTTTTTAACTTTTCTCTTTCCTGATTGTGAGGGGTTTTCTGATTACATGACATGAACTAAAAATTTAAAGAGTTTTTAACATATCAAACAAGAAGAAACTAGAAAATTTGGGCAAATTTATATAAAAAAAAACTAAAAACATTGCTGTAGAAGTAGCAGGTTTCATTTACGGATAAGTATGAATAAGTTTGTTATTATGGAGAATTCGGCTTTTTGTAACGTTTTTGTCTACGTATATGAAATAAGAGAATCAGTTTAAATTTTTTTTTTAAATTTTTAATTCAAGTGTCAAATTTGTGTTAAACGTTGTTTTCTGTAAAAAATATTTTTTCCCAAAATATTTTTTAAACGATTGATTCTTGTGCTATTTCTTGTCACAATGATTTCACAGCTCATGAAATATGGCTGCAGCCCGCAGCCGAAACATATAGAGCAGGATAATGTTTTTTCTTAAAAGATAATTTAATAAACAGCTTCTATGGAGCAAAAACCGATTTTAAATTCAAATTTCACCATGAATCAACCCTTGACCGTGAAATTCTACCACAAAAACAAGAAAATCTTAGTATAATAAATTAATTTCAGTTTATGATATTTTAATGGCTATAAAAATTTGATCATCACTCTCGTCTGCTAAAACAAACAGTCGATTTTCAGCGCTACTTTAAAGGTTTTGAATTGCATGAGAAATAAACAAAACAAAAATTTGTACCACAGATGATAAAAGTAACTGTATTGCTTGCACACAGATGTATAGGTTTCCAAGAAGAAAGGCTGCGTTATAGGTTTTTTTAAACTTTTTCTGGAAGTATTTGTTACTGTAAATCGTGAGTAGCATTAAAAAAGTCATGTTCATATAATATCATCAAAAGAGTGAGATGTTGAAGAAGCTTAGCTGCGATGTTTGATGGATGCTGAGAGGCTGCAAGGGTCGGCCCGCATGACTCTGACCGCACACTTACGTCACCGCCGCGCGCGTTTATAATTATTCGTCTCTGCTGACTTCACATGTTAATTGCCACTCTCTCGGGTTAAATGTATGTATATGAGAGACTCGTGTGAAATCTCGACATATCCGGGCCTACGAGATGAGCTAGGACATCTCATATCGGTTTTCGCGCGGAGCTTTTAACAGCGGCTCGGATGTTTTCGCTTTGTTTACACGATTCCTGATGGATTTGCATTCGACTTGGTTAGGTCCCAAAATAGAGCACCATCAGTGCGGGATCACGGCGAGGAAAACGCACCAACTGGCCCGATCGTGATTTCATTCCGAGCCTCTCTGTTTATTTAAATAATTTTAGTACGCGCACAACCCGGCCGGCTGCTCTGGAGTGTGTATTTCCTCAAAGCAGCGTGTTTACAATCAAGGGATGCGAGAGAGCAAGAGCACATTGCCCCGGCGTGAGATGCATCCACTTTTGGAACTACTTCAAAAACCGGGGCCGATGTGTAAATGGACATGCATATTTAAAACGCCAAACCTCAGCTGTTGCGACCGTGAATATTTATGGATTTTGTCCTAATGTTGTAAATACGCGTCGCTGAGAGATCGAAATATTTCTCGTGTATTTGAAAGAGACGATCCGCAGAAGGTGAAAGTGTGTGGGAATCCGGCGTGTTTTGAGGTTGGAATTCCTTTGAAATTTGTGATTTATGTGTGCCTTTGCGGATTTCTTCAGACCTGTGCGCGAAACTTGATCCTCATATGAATATGTACAGTTAATTTATGTTAAATATTAGACAGATAAAAGGCAAGTGCATTAAACAGGACATACATGCTTATTTTATTAAATAGAACTTTATCAATTGAATATATTACGAATGCAGAATAGAATATTCATAAAGCGATTTATACAAACAAAAAAGTTAATAAATTTTTTACAGGAATGAAAATAAATGGCTTTTTTTCATCATAAAAGCTGTTTTTTTATAATTTAATTTAATAAATATAAATTTTGTCAACTTTTTCTAATTAATTGATTAAATATATATATTTTTTTTAAATAAAGAATCAATTTTTTAAATGACCGAGCCCACTTTTCTTTAATTTATATATAGTCATTTCAACTGTCAATTTTTGGATGAATAGTGTTTAAAAAAATTTTATTGATTTTGTGTGGTTTTCATTAAATGACTCTGATTAAGTTTGTGTGAAAAATTGATTTTTATTTCAGATAATCATGTTGAATCTCACTTTGGTTCGATTAATAAATGCTAATTGATTTTTAAATAATTTGTTTGCAAAATAAAACGGGTTATCAAATAATTAAAAAACTCTCCCCAAACCTGAAAAGTTTTGGATTCCCCTGCGAGATGCGAACCCTCAGATACCCATTTCTTTCCAACAACAGCTGGTCACACATTCAACCCTTTTTAGCAATGGTTGGCCGTTTCGATTAATTAGGGCTGCCCAGTTGAGTGATACACACACACACACACACACACACACACACACACACACTTTCTCACCGAGTGCAAAATTATTCCCGTCAGGACGAGCGACAGAATAAATAGAGCGGCCGCGCTGGTCATTTGAACTCTTCTTTGACACGAGCAGCGCGGGCTATTTGCATAGCAGGGCCATTTAGGGGTTGAATAAAGAGTGGATACTTCGCCCCCATAGGAGCCACATTCACGCATTATGCAGCGTATTTAGCGTGAAATTGGCACACGCCTCCGATCCTCCCGAGACAAAACTCGGCAAACTGCTCCTGCCGGATGGACACACGCACGCATCTCGCTCGTCAAACTCACACATGTACGGCGAATAATTATTCCGTGTCGAAATTACACCAAGCCCGGCCGCACTGACCGAATAATAATGCGTAATTTATGCATTCATACCGGTCGCCACGCGCCCCACCTTGAAAGCATTTCCGTGCTGCGCGCCAAATAAAACAGCAGTGAGCTCGAAATTCCTGGAATTTGCGCTTCACCAAACTCGACTTGCGGTTCCGACTCGCAGGAACAAAAGAGTAATGTTAAAAATTGTCAATTTTCTGACATTGAGTATTGATTGCGTTTAATAAAAATAAAAATAAAAAAATTAAAAAAATAAACTTCTCTTCTCCCAGATATTTTCAGTTTTATAAAAGTTTTTGATGCAATAATTTAATTTTGGTAGTGTTATTGAAATGTATCTGAACGGAGAATAAATCAATCAATGAATAAGAGGTATTCAGATAACGAAAAGTTTAAAGGGTTTAATTGACAAAATTTCACATTTTCACTATAATATTTCCTCACTTTTTTTTTGGAATTATATTTTATGCAAAAAGTGTAAAGGTACTTAAGGACTCCTTATTGACATAGTCAAATCAAGTCTTTACAACAATAGAAGCCGTTTTTGGCTTAATTATTGGAAATTTAACAAACCATTGTTGTAAAGACTTGATTTGACTATGTCAATAAGGAGTCCTTAACTGATCTCAGAACATAAAAAAACTAGAAAAAAATGGAATACATTTTACATTTTAAACTTAACAAATTGAATTGAATTGAATCTATTGTTTACTTAATTAAGTAATTTATATTTTTTTATTATTATTTTATTTCTTTTTTTTCTTACAGCTTTTTGGTTTTAAAATCTGAGGAAAGATTTGACTTTCAGTTTTTTTGTAATCAATAATTATACTAATAATGACGGAAGATTTATTAGTTTAATTTAAAACTAATGAGATTTTAACATTCAAAATGAGTTTTAAATCCTACAAATTTGAACAAAAAATTGTGCCATGTGTGTGTTTCAAAATTAATGTCTTTCATAAAAAAATCTGCGGGTTTAACGCGGTCATCAAACGGAAAGTTCAGCGAGACGAGCGTTTGAGCAATCAATCAATCGCAGGGGGCGGCGAACAGGCAAGCAAAACGCAGCCAGCAGACGCGAATAATTCAATAAACAACAATGCCCATTCGGGTTTGAGCATGTGGTAATAATTTAATTACAGCGCGCCGGCCTAACGACGCTTTAATTGCCCACGCATCTCTCTCTGCACGGCAGGAGCACGCGTTCGCACAGATTTGAGCAATTAAATTGAAATTAAGCTGGACGGCCTCGGCGGAAATATCGCGGGCAGGTGGCATCGAAATTCGCGCATAAACATGTCATCAGGAGCGAGCTCGGCTAATAAGCGCGCGCCCATATGCACGGACAAGAAGGCGAGGGACGCCCAAGAGATATTAGGCCTATAACTCACCACGCTTGCACCACGCCAAGAAGCATTTGTCTAATTGACTGGATGACAGGCAACCCGCTAAACGACTCCTTTCCAAACCTGCGTCTCTGCTCCCGTTGCGGGCAAATGGTGGATTAGGTCAATTTAACAAGTTGTCCTCTCGAATTCTAATCGCGGAGGTGATTATTTATGCCAACAAGTCAATTTTTATTAAAATTTTAGATTTATTAGTTAAAATAACAACTGCAACAATATATTATTAAATATTATGAAATTACATTTTAAAATATCTTTGTAAATTATGCTTGTTTTTATTTCATTTTTATAGAATAATAATATTTTTTTTAGCATATAGTATAGTAATTTTATAAATTCGGTTGAATAATTAATAAAAAAAATTTTGCAAAATTTTAAACCATCAATTGTTTTAAGAATGAGATAAATACTTAGAAGGAGCAGATTGCATGTGTCAATTAGCCTTAAAAGTGTTTTTTATCAATCTGATTTTTTCCTGGTGTGTCATTAAAATTGTATTAATAAGGCACGAATAAATTTTACTTTTTAATGAAAAAGATTTTAATAGTTTCCACATTGTTTTTAAATTAAATTATGCTGACTTTCTCACCATATTTTAAACTGATTTTGAACACACAAAATAATTTTTATATAATAAGTTTTTGTTTTAACATACAATTTATTGAAGCTTTCCAATGGGAAAATTCAAAAAATTCGTTGTGAATCGCATGGAATGTTGAGCGATTTAAAGCAAGCGCTGGCCATTGCCGTAAATTTCTCTCACTCTCTCGTCCGCGCTTAAAAATGTTCACATGATTCCGAGCGAGTGTATCGCCGATCTCGGCCATTAATCGTGCTGCTGAGCGGCTCCTGCTGAAAATTAGCTGCTCTTTTTTATCTGCCCATTATAAATTTGGTCCGTTTTGGGAAGTCTGCTAAACGCTCCGTTCATTTATCTATTAGGCGTTTTAAAAACTCGCCCCTGCTAGCTGAACACCACGATCAATTTATTTAATTCTCTGCCGGACAAGCAAACGAAAACGACACATTTTATTTCAATCTGTCGGCGTTGAAAGCGACTCTGACACGGATAATATGGGCGGGAGAACTTTGCTCCTTCGCGGAGGCGGATTCATTTTTAATGATTTCGATTCTCCGAGAAAATCAATTTCACTTCTAATTTTGTGGGTTGACGAATAAATACCACGTTCCTCCCATAGAGAATTGATATTTTCATGCAAATGCCAAGTAATGAATTAAACGGGCGCGATTCGTGGCCAAGAGATTGTGCGGCTCAAGTGCGCCGAGAGGGCGGCCGATCAATAATAATTTCATTTGGCATTGCTTGTGTGTGATGGGACCGGCTGATGCTTATATGGCGCTATTTTATTACTGGCACCACCATCCACCACGAATCGATCACTCTTGTGAGTCCCATTACGGCAAACACGTAATGCATTCAGTCCACTGCCGTGTTCTACTCGACTCGAACCGAAACGATCCAAATACGATTCTCAAGCAAATTGCAGCGCAGCTTCAAAAGTCGCGTTTATACTTGCATGATTTAAAATGAATTTGTTATTTCAGCCGTATTTTGTGTTCACACACGTTGAGGTGTGAGTTTAAATTAAAATCGTCGTTTTATTTGTCTTTTAAAAATATGATTTTTTTGTTTTGTTTAACAAGACTCTCAAAGCAATCAAGGTTAAAGAGATTAATAATATTAAAGAACCTCTCCGATCACTTGTATTGCTCTCTATTCTGAAAGATTGCTAAATTTCGAGCATATCTTGTGAAAACACTGTGTGAAGATTCCAAACCGTTACGTCGCAATCAAAATAAAACCTAAATACGAGTGATTCGCGCGAAAAACATGTGAGAATTGTGTAGCCAATCAGATCCATCAGTTTTTATCAAAAACTGCAGCATTTGGTCACATTGGCGCTGCGATCGCTGATTTTGCCACTAATGCCCCACGGCGCTGTGCAGAAAACTAGGCAAAATCAGCGATCGCAGCGCCAATGTGACCAAATGCTGCAGTTTTTGATAAAAACTGATGGATCTGATTGGCTACACAATTCTCACATGTTTTTCGCGCGAATCACTCGTATTTAGGTTTTCTTTTGATTGCGACGTAACGGTTTGGAATTTTCACACAGTGTTTCACAAAATATGCTCAACATTTAGCAATTTTTCAGAATAGAGAGCAATACAAGTGATCGGTGAGGTTCTTTAATTATTAATTAATTGACTGCACGAGTTTGAGATTGATTATCAGTACTAACATCACTATTATCTTAGTATTTGGAATCAGATTAAATTTGTAATTATTATTAAACAAAAATATTTTTGCATTTCTTTAGTTTTGTGTATAGATTGTTGGCCATCTAAAATTTTAATAATAAATAAATAATTTCAATAAAATTTAAAAAATAATTAAAACATATTAATTTACACTAAAGATTGTAAAGAATTATTTTATTATAAAGGATTTTATTCAAAAAATGCAATATTTTTAAATAACTTATCTCGCTAAACTATAATTTATTATTTATAAAACATCTCGACAGTAAAACATTTGGTGTGACTGGATAATATGTATGACAAGTCGTGCCGTTTAAAGGTTAACAAAGTCAATTTGTACAGTGCTGGTATCATAATAAGGAGCACTAAGCGCGTGTGCTTGACTTTGAGCCCTCAATTATTATCTTCATGTGTCGCAGCTCGTGTAAAAATTAAACTAGTTTAATTTGCCGTCGATCATCATTCAATGACGGTCGCTCTCGTTCCAAACGTCAAGTGGATAAAAATATCAAAAATGCATCCGTTCGGAATGAATAATGAAATGATCCACGTATGTGCCGCAAAAGCTGCTGCGACTAATCCAGGCAATTAAAAATCGATGGTGACCTGCGAGTTGAGCTCGAACATGGTTGTAAATTTGCAAAACGAATGATAATATATTTGGTTTTGTGTCGAAACTGGAGCTTCGCCATTTCTCATTCGCCTTTGGAGACAAACGTGTGCGGCGGAGCCGATTTTTTTTTCTTTTTTGGTTAAGCCGCGTGAAATATGCCGGCTGTAAAAGTCGTGTTTTGTTTCTTCACCTCTGACTCTGCGTGGCGCGTAAACACGCTCACTATTTTCATTGTCAAAGGAAAGAAAGGCGCGCTGAGAATCCTCCTTTTTTATTATTTCGGAGCTGCATGAGTTTGTAAATCCACCTGCCACGCCCTGGGCCCGTAAAACAACAAGATTCACGCTGCGCTCGGAAAATCGTTATTTGTTTCAATTTATAATAATAAACACTGAACATCAGGGGCAGAAGGAAATTAGTTTGATATAAAATAAAATGACAGCCACATTTTTTGATACTTGTCATCCCATGGATTTTTCTAATAACATTACTTTATTTTATTAATTGTTTCTTGGTTACTTTGAAAATGTTTAAAACAAATATCACTGTTAATCACATTAGTTTCTTTGGAAACGCAAATAAGTGTCTAAACAATTAAGCGCCAATTTTCCTCCCAGTGAGCAACATCGTAATTTATATCAAAGCTGATCTGCTTGAGCGGCGGCGGAGGTTGGAATGCTGTCGGATCAATTCGGCGCGTTGTGTGTCTTTGTAATTTGAAATAAACACCGAGAACGCATCTCGGCAGCAATTCCAAGCATCTCGTCCGCGGCACAAAATTGCTCTTGCTAGGCCGCATTTCAACTCCTTGGCCGCCGCGCGCGTGTGGAAATTGTCAGAGCGGCGATATTTCAAGCCACTCAATCCTATACATTCTCGGCCCGACAGACACTGACAAATTCAAACACTCAAAACACTTATTTGTCACACTTCCAAAGCCATTGTTGCTCCAAGGAGTGCTTCCCAACTTTTGAAATCCAGATGTTCAAAAAAAAGTGTACTCGTTGGTTTTAAGATTTAGTGTTTACAGGGAAATGGGAAGAAAGTAGATAAGATTTTTATATTATTGGGTTTTGAGAATATATTTTCCAGCTAGACCAGAGAAAACTGCTGGAAATTATTTACAACTTTTACAATTTTTTTCTTAATTTTATCATAATTTTCAAGCTTAAAAGAAAACTTGAAATTTAAGTGGTAATTATTATTTTGTCCTCGTTTCAGCTCAATGTGGCCATGCGTTGGGCATGGAAGATGGTCGCATCCCAGACGCTGACATATCAGCCAGTACAGCCTACGACTCAGGCAGTGTCGGCCCTCAACATGGAAGGTAAGATTTTTGCTGCTTTCAATGAATTTATTCCAATGTAATTGTCCGTGTATCATTTTATTGCTTGAGCTCACATGAGTCATCATTTTCCACCCTAATAAATTTAAAGATCCTCTCCGGTCAAGTGTATTGCTCTCTATTCTGAAAGATTGCTAAATTTCAAGTAATCTTGTGAAAATATTATTTGAAAATTCCAAACCGTTGCGTCTCAATCAAAAGAAAACCTAAATGCGAGTGATTCGCGCGAAAAACGTGTTAGAATTGAGTAGCCAATCAGATCCATCAGTTTGTTTCAAAAACTACAGAATTTGGTCACATTGGCGCTGCGATCGCTGATTTTGCCACTAATGCCCCACGGCGCTGCAGAAAACTTGGCAAAATCAGCGATCGCAGCGCCAATGTGACCAAATTCTGTAGTTTTAGGAACAAACAAATGGATCTGATTGGCTACTCAATTCTCACACGTTTTTCGCGCGAATCACTCGTATTTGGGTTTTCTTTTGATTGAGACGCAACGGTTCGGAATTTTCAAATAGTGTTTTCACAAGATATACTCGAAATTTAGCAATCTTTCAGAATAAAGAGCAATACAAATGACCGGAGAGGATCTTTAAAATTTGATTATAATGGTTTCTGAATTTTGATGGAGAAAACAATTAAGCTGGAACCAATTAAAATTTAACGTGACAAAAAAGTCCAGGAATAAAATTTTTTTCCGAAAGTTGTTAGAGACTTTTTTAAGCAACTGGGCGCTGAAAGCTACTTACTGAGCACGGAAGAAGGCGAGCTTAAAAAGCACGATTAAATTTACGGTTTTTTTTTCTGCTTGTAACGCAGGGTGCAGAATAAATTTTTGCTTACATTGTGTAAGAGCAGCTCAAAGACGTATCCGCGCCGGGCGATATGCAAATGCCCAAATCTGGAGGCGAGACACGTTTTTGGCTGCACCGAGATTTAGTGTCGAGGTGGATTTCGTCGGAGCAAAAGGTGCGCGCGTCCCCGATAAACACACTGCTAGGGTCTTTTAATAAAAGTTAAAAGCTCGCGGGACGTGTTTTGCACATGATTAACAGCTGGGGGCGCCTGCTTAAATATTTATGTCGCTTATTGACTTTTTATGTCGCTGCCAGCCGACGAAAGACTCCGTTTTTTTTTTTTTTACTTTTCTGGCGACGTGCTGTGGAAATAATTGAGTGCGGCTTTTATTCAAATTACCTGCTGCCCGCGTCTCTTGACACCCGAGATTAATGTTTCAATCACTCAATTAGGCTGGAAAACTGTGCCGATCGCAGCAGTCTGGCCTTTTAACGCGCCACGTAATTTATTCACGACGCCAATTACTCACGAATGGCGAAAACTGCTGTTGGACAAACATAATTGATGTCACCAGACCAGTTTTCGTTCTTTTTTAGGAATAAACCCATTATTATAAATCCGCTTTTTTAAATAAAAATTATACGGAACCAGCCCGACAGACGATCAGTCACGTTCATAAATTCAAATGGGAAAGAGAACAATGGTCTTGCTTTCCACGGGATTAGTTGGATTCACTTGCAAATGAATCATAACATAGTTTGCAGCCCCCTACAAAATATGAGGCCGTCATCAAATGGCGTGCATTTTCCTTAACAAGAGACACCCGCAGCCGCAGCCGCAACCCGCAACGCTTGATTATTAAATAATATAAACTCGCGGAATCAAGGGAGGACGTGATCAGAAAGTGCAAACGCTAATTATCAATTCCGCCACCACGCGTGCTACACTTTGCATTAAAATCAGCTCGCGTGTTGTTGATCGAATTCAAGTCCACGCCTTTGACGCCCACGCTCTTGCTTCTAATTTTAGGCTACAGATCTCATTGTTTAACCTAGAAAGAGGCAACAGACACAGGAAGAACTGATTGCGACTGGAAAAAATATTCAATTAAGTTTACAAAAACCATAATTAATAATAAATAAAACTTTGCAAGTGTAATCCAGGTAGACAAGATAAATATAAAATATCATTTATCAAATTTTTTAATTATTAATTTTTATCTATCAATTACAAGCCAATTATGCGGTTTTTTTATTCCATATATATAGAAATCTTGGTTTATTTAATTGGTTTTCTGTAGTTTTATAAAATAATCTATTTATTGGGCTTCTTATGCAACCGGCCTTTCGTGCACAATCAAAGGGTTGCATAATTTCAGGGGTCTATCAATTATATTGCATTATATTTCTTTCAAGTTTCTATTATATGTTGTGATCTTCTTATTCGATTTCTTTTTATACAAAAGATACTTTTAGGTATTTCACAGAAATGGAAAACCGGTCGGTAATCTGTGTGCTCTGTTTTTTGCTTAATTAGCATGCAGACTTGATTCAGCGGCGGCGACACAACGTTTTATCTCAATTTGAATTAAACGTCTTCAGCAGAAATAAATCCGGCGTTGTTCAACTCGACGACGATTCCATTACGTGCGAAATTGAAAGATCGCCGCCGACAAGACTGTGCACGTTCAATAAATAAACAAAAATGCTAATCCCGGCGACACCTAATGAGGTGGAATGTCCCGCCGAGAGAGGGAAAACTCGCGAATTGGCCATAAACATTCGCGCACTCGGCAAGTTTGCAAAAATTACGCGTGGGCCCAAATGCCTCGCGCCCGAACCTTAATTAAGCTTTCAAGTTTCTTTATATTCGAATAAATGCTAAGTGCGCCTGCGACCGGTAGCATTATGGACAAACGAGAGCACTTTTGATTTTTAAGTAGGCGGGGCGCGTGGGTTTTTTGAGATGCGAATCTCCAGCCCGGTGATTTGCTGCCCAGCCTAATGTTAAATGATCGGCAGCAGAAGCAGGCACAGGTGCTGCTTAATTAAAAATATTATTAATGCTTGTCGCTCGAGACGTAATTGAAACGGCGGCCTTTTAATTTTGCTTTGACTGCGCCCGCCCGCGTGTTGGTTATGCGAGAAAAATTAACAAACACAACTGTGGACACGAAGTGGTGCTGACACAAAATTAATTGTGCCCGGGCGATTGAAGAGGCGGACGGCAAATTTCACGCTTTAAATACTACTTGCGTTCTAGGTGAAAGGGAGCAGGATAATTTAATTGCTTCTCGCGGCTTTCTTTTATTTGTGTCGCGAGAATTTTCATTCCTCCTTGTGTCTCCACCCAAGGCGACGTGACAAATCATTTCAATCTCGTTGATTATTTTTTAATTAAAATTGTCTTCTTTTTCGTAATCAAAATAAAGATATAATTTGGTATGAAAATAGCCATTTGATGTCTACTTTGAATTTTTAATTAATTTTTATTTCCTATAAGATTTCATTTTACTGCAATTTTATCCTTATTTTTAGATATAATCTTCATTTCAAAATAAAAAAAGCAATGAAGTAGTTCCTAATAATTAATTTTTAGATCATAATTAAACTCCAAATTTCAAATGCTCAAAAGAAATATATTTTCAAAAGAAAAATTGTCAGTCCAAAAAAACTCAGCTCGTCTGCATAGTTCTCTTCATCTCCTCCTTCTTCACGTGAGACTTGTTCAAAGTGTCAACGATCGTGTTGAGCAAGTGAAGAACGTCCAGCACCGTCTCAGGCCGTCCTCCGTCCACAGTGAGGACGCGGTGACAGAGCTCAACCAGTCCGCACCTGATCGCCATCTTTGTGTCCTCGATGACCTCCAACCCCTCTTCAGGACTGAAGTTGTCAACCACGGCAAGGGCGGCGCCGTAGTCGTCCTCGTCCAGGTTGATCAAGGCCGGAGTCGGCTGATGGCGAAAGCGAAAGTCCAGCTCCTGGATGACCTGACCCATCAGGGCTTTTGGCGGGATGGTGAATTCGCCGGCCGGAGGGTTTTCAGGGTTGATGCACATGGAGGGGGCCAGGTGGGGCACAAATCTCTCCTCCTCCGATGGTACGCTTTCCTCTTGTGCAATCAACGGTTGGGCTGAAATTAAATTAAATAATTAAAAAAAAAAATCATTATTATTACGCCGTTTATTTTTCCATTGTTTACATTCAATTTAAAATTAAAAAATTCTTTGGAAAAAGGTATTGTTGGACAAAACCGAAAGAATTTTGCTAAAACTTCCGAGACCTTATTAAAAATTCTTTCGTTCATGAATTAATTTTAAATAATATGATGTTTTTAATCTTTTCATACTTTTAAAATCACATTTTTCAAATTAAATAATTGATTTAAAGGAATTGTTGGAAAAACGGCACCACCAGTAGCAGGAATTTCGCTACATAAATTTAAATTTGTAAAATTCGACAGAAAAAATTTCCAGCTTTTTAATATCAAATTCAATTATAATTTTTAATGTTCATATGAGATAAAAAGGAAATTTGCATCTTTTTTTTAAATAAGCTCAAGAATTCGGTAGAAGAATTAAAGTAAAATTTGAATAAATTCCCTGAATAAAAAAAAATCTTTTCAAAGTGATAAAATATTAACCTGGATTATCCACTTCCTCAATCGTCCTTTCCGGCTCCTCGTCCTCCAAGATGTTGAGGACGCTCTTGGTGGTCCTGATGCGTCGGCGCAGACCTTCGATTTCCTTGGCCAGGTTGTTTTCCAGCTGCTCGAAGGAGACCCTTTCGTCCACCTGGCGCGGCCTCGCGCTGCCGTACTGTCGGACGACGTCCAGGTTGATGCGGGCGTACTCCAGTTGCCGCTCGAGGGCCCCCAGGGTCTCCTTGGCTTTGCTGGCCGTTTGCTCGCGACGAATTTCAGGGTCGTTGGGAGTCTGATTCATCCTTTCAGAGGTTGGTGAGGTCGCCGGAATCAGGTTCCAAAGACGTTGAAATGTGCTTTGGTAGACGCGTCTGAAGAAGCTCAGCAGCGCAGAGCTGGCGGCGGAGAAATTGAAGAGAAGAATTTTGAAGAGATTTTTTGACCGTTGGACGAGAATGTCAATTTTGAATTTGAAAGTGTCGCTCGTGATGAATTCGAATTGTTTGATTTTTCAACAATGTGGAAGTTTGTGGGTGGAGTTATGGAAAGTGGAGGAGTGGTGTGGAAAAGTTGCCATTGTTGGCTTTTCATATTTATTTCATTAGCTTATTATTTCACTGACGAATAAAACTGAAATGTAAAGAAAAATTAAAACGACATCGCATCATAGAAATAAGACTAGATTTAAAATAAAAATAAAAAATAAAAAAATAGCTAGCTTTGTGTCTGCCAGAGCACATTCACTTTGTTATAAAGTTTTTTTAGAGACTTGTTTGCCAGAGGTGATGCAGTTTATTCGCATTTGATTTTCTTTACAACATTCTATATGACTTACATTCTGAAAATAAATAAAATAATAATTTAAGAATTAAGAAGCAAAATTTTTTTATTTCTCGTTAAATTTAAATGCTACAATCGTATTTTTTTTTACAATTTATTAAATATTTGGTCCTTTGACATATTTTAAATACTGTATTATTTAATCTTTCTTCTTAGAAATCAGTGACTTATTTGAAGCGGTGGTTGAATTTTCCGACAATTTTATCGCAGAAATAGGTGGTTTAGGAGGTTTGAAGAGACCGTCAACGTGGAGAGGCGCCCCAAAAACTTGCACGTCATAAATTAGGTACTCCAGGAGGTACATTTTGTTAGGGTCCACTTCTTGGAATGCGAATATATTTTGCTGGCAACACGCACTTCTTATCTGTTAAATAATTAAATGGAAGTAAAAGTTAAAATTTAAAAACAATTAAAAAGAAAAAACATTTTTTTTTTCTAAAACTCAAATTTTTAAGATTAATCTGTGTTTATTCAAATGTATTTTTTACAGTGTTTTAAATTAAAATATCATTTTAGTTGTTTATTTTATTTTTTCTTCTGATTCTAAACATGCTTTGAAAAATCTTTTTAATGTTAAAACTTGTATAAACTCTAAACTAATTTAATTAGTTTATTAGTTATTACTGATTTTTATGTTCTTATAATTAATTGAATTGCAGAAGTTTTTTTTAATTGTTTTTAAAAAGATAAAATTTTATTTGTCTAAATAAAATTAAATCTTTTAAACAACAATAATAAAAAAATTGCAATGCAATTGTTTGTTTTAAAACGTAAAAATTAGTATAAAATAACTGTAAGAAAATACTTTCAAGTCTGTTTTCAGAAGAAATTTTCTTCATGGATAAAGTTATGATTTCTTGGTACGATTTGGCTAGAAAAATCGAACTAGAAGTGAAAAAATACAATAAATTTTGAAAATATTTGGTAATAAATAATTTAAAATATTATTTAAATTTAATTTTATATTCATTATACCTTTGTCGGAACAAGACTGTCATTATTTTTGTGGTAGGGCCAGTATTTGTAGTGATCCATCCACCACGTTGCACCCTTTACCTCCGGCAACCTAGCGTTAGCCATGTTGAAGGACAAGACTTCTCCTTCAATATTCAGCGGGTCCATTTTCATGCGTTGTAAACATGAGTCTAAATAATAATTAAATTCACCACTTGTATTATTGCAGTAAAAAATTAAAACTAACAAATCTCTGCGTCATCATCCTTGACAATTTCATCTTGACCTTTGCATTTTGTGGAACCATTGGAAGTTGCCTCAGAAACCAATCTGACAGCCTCCCTGCTCAAAACGAACCCTTGGATTGAATATATAAATTAAAATAGGGCAATGATATGAAAATTTAACAAACCTGTGCCATTTTGCATTGAACCAAACGAATTAAAGTGAAAACCATAGGATTCTATACTCTGATGGTCTTGCGTTGCTAAGGATCTTCTCAGATTCTCGACCAAAACAAAACTATTATATATAAAATTCTAGCATTCTGTAAATTTCCAATTATAATTTTCATACGTCTTGTCATCCACTTTGAGGAACCATTCAAAGCTGTAAAGATGGTATTTGTTGATGTACCTAAAGGCGTGCAATGTCTTTGACCATGCTTTTTCTGTCATGTTTGTTTTTCCAAATTTAACTTTTTAAAACATATCATTTTATTTCTATTAATTAATTGAAAGTTAAAAAAAACCTTTGAGCTTGTTGAAGAAGACAAGTTTATTGCAGTGGCGGCCCCAAGTATCTCTAGACGCGTTTACCCTGTCGGGATGGTAAAAGTCGTCCATCACCAGACAGAAGATGCGCGTTTTCTCCGCCGTCCTGCGTGCTTCTACCTCCCTAGTTTCTATATATAATAATAAAATAAATTGAATCTCCTGTAAAGTCTTAAACAAAATTTATTAAATTTTTTAATGAAATATGAAGCTAGTTTAGGAAATTTATTCGATAAATAAATTAATTAAAATTAATACTGGACCTTTTAATAAGTCGACTGCAAATGATGAATTGAGTTGCAACCAGTTTTTCAGTTTTGCCAGAGCATCCTGCTGTTCACTTTTCTTCACCAATGGTATTCTATAAAAATTTCTTTAAATTAAGAGACTGTCAAAATTATATGGTAAACTAACACATTGCCAGTCTGGAGAGAAACAAAACTCAAACTCGGTACCACAATCCCCAGACAGAAGCCAATGAGAAACGTGAGAAACAATTTTGGTCCCCTGGCATATGTGGTTGACTTCCAACTGCTGGTCATTGCTTGAAAATAATTTCTATTTTATTTCAAGTAAGACAGGTTAAAATCATTTCCTAAACTGTTAATTATTATCCTATTGATGAATAGAAAATATAAAAAAAATTACGTTTTTTCGCCACGCAAAGTTTGTTGAGTGCCACGAGTGCTGCCAGTCCACCAACAACGAAAAGTCCAGCCGTGTCAAAAGTCATGAGCCGCATTTTATTCGTTCCCACCTGGCTGACGGTGCGCACGGAAATGATAAGTTTTACTTTCAGAAAGTGAGATAAGATGTACAAGTATAAATTCGGGAGGGGAAGTCAAGGAAATTTTGATTAAAACCAGCAGCATTTCATACAATTTAAATTCTAGTTTATATTAACTCTATGAAAAGATTTGTTTTAAATCCAATGTACAAAAGATTTTTTTTATAATTATGCTCACCATTCTTGTAGCAAAAAAATTTAATTAAAGAACTGGACCCTCGCGTTTTATTTGAATCCTGCGTCAACTAAGAATCCTGATTAAAATCGCTTTTTTTTTTAAATTTTTCATAGAATAAACAAAAATAATTAATTTTTAAAATAAAATTATAAATTTTTTATCAAAATTTTACTAAAAATTTTATTCTTAATAAAAATACATTGAATTTCCTTGATAGCATTTTTTTACCTACCAGTTATGGTCATGGTGTGCAACCCTCAACGCTCTGTTTCATGGGGAGGAATAATTTAGTTGCAAAATTTACTAATATAATCCCAAATAATTAATTTACACGGAAACTAATTAATAACATAAAAATGGAATAATTTTTTTTATCCTCCTACCAAGCACAAACCAAGTTCTTATCAACAATTCAAAAAATCAAATTCAAGAGTTACTCGTAAGTAACTAAAATGTGAGAAATAAATTAATTTTTCTTGCGAATTCAAAATTATTCCTGCTTTATAAAAGGCCAATTTAGTAAGAGGTTAGAATGAAATCAGATTTTAGCATTTAAGTGATCAATTATATTTTAAGGAGTAAAAAATCTTATTTTAATTTTAAGCTTCCGATGTAGAGAAGCTCAGATTTTGACTTAAAAATCATGTTTCAGCTTTCACACAAAATCTTAGACGGCAGTCACGAGTCTTCCAAAAATAATCAAGCTGCAGCCAAGCTCATTAGTTGCCGGCGTTTTTTTTTCCGTAAAGAACCAAACATGAGTCGCGCGACATCCTGTTACGATCTCATGACAGTGAATGAGAGTCAATTTTTTGTATCAAGCAGAGCGAGCTTGAATTTCACGCCTTGCGCGACAAATTAAGGAGCGCGCGTCACTTTGATGATGAGCCTGAAATTCCGATTTTTCCTAAGAGCCCTCTTTCATCTGCAGTCTTGCGACCTCTCTTTGATCTGAGTACATCACACGGTCAATAAAATTAAAAAGACACTTCTCGTAACAATCAAAACTAACGATCATGTTGAAAAAAAAACTTGTAACGTTTGCGATTTATTTGAACTTTCAGACTGCGACTCGACAAAAACGGCGGCGCCTGGTGTCCGCGGAACCAAATCAAGCGGGACTCGAATGAGTATCTGCAAGTGGAGCTGCACAGGCCACACGTGGTGACGGCGACCAGGACTCAGGGTCGCTTCGGCAACGGTCAGGGTCAAGAGTATGCCGAAGAGTTCGTTTTGGAGTACTGGCGGCCTGGCATGAATTCGTGGCGTAGGTGGCGGAATCACAACAGGAAAGAGGTCAGTTTTATTGAAATTTTTTTCCAAAAATTTATTATTATTATATTTGATAAATAATCAATATTGACTCGATTGAAGGAAATAAAAATATTGAGTGGATTCAACGCATATTGTAATAAAAAAAAGGTTATAATTAATTTCATATTTTCATGCAATTTATTAAAAAATTGAGTATTAATTTGCAATATATTTAAAACAATTAAATTTAATGACAATTTTTTATTTTTAATAATTTCTATTTGAATAACATTATTTTATTTTATATTTTACTATAATTATTATATTTTTAAGTTAATTTATTTATCTACTCATATATAATTCGAAATAATTTTTTTATCTTTGTAACATTTTTCAATTTCAAAAAATAGAAGCTTTTAAATATATTATATAATCTTTTTTGCGCCATGAAATTGCTATATATTGAAAGAGTTACTTTACTCTATTGGGCAACTGTCTGGAAAAGATGCTTGATGTGAAAAATAAAATTGAGTATTAAAATTTGAATAAACAAAGATAATTTTGAAGAAAATATCGGATCCGCAAAAATTGACCTAAAAATGAAACAACCATAAAGATTATGAAAGCAAAACGGAATCCCATTAAATTTTTCGCCTCAACTCGATCCTTTTATCCGTAAACAAAACCGCTTGAGGAGGTCGTAAAAAGCGCGTGAGTTATCTTTCGCGGCGCATATTTTACAGCCGCGCTGCTTTTGTTGCCAGAACATTACGTTTAATTGGAATTTTTGGGGGCTTCAGCACCTCTCTGAATTTTTTCCCATCTTTTTCGCGCGGCGTGCGCTTTTTGGTTGTTATCAGTGAGCGCCACACACGTGCCCTTACCTCTGTCTGCTCTTTTTTAAAACCGCCCACCCACCCACGAGCCCATCCATCACGCGCAGACACGTTGGCAAAACATTTTTAATTAACTGCTCATGTCGAAAATAACACGCCGCCGAATTCTCTCTCTTGTTGCAGCAAAATTGGAACCTGAGCCGCGAGCGGTTGAATTTTGTTATTCTCTCGTCCAATTAATTTCTGGCCGGAGACCCTTTTATTCCGTGTTTGTGGCCGGCTACGCACAAATTTGTCTCATTTCGTTTGTTGTTCTCGCTGAATAAATGCATACAGAACATTCAACGCAGCACGCCGAGCAGTTCTAAATTACAAAACCGTTGGCGGAATTCGTTACGTTTTTTGCATTATTTTAAGCGATTGATGTGCGTTCAAATAAATTGAGTGGAACTTTTATTTCGTTCAAGCTAAACATCAATTTCGGTTTTTAAAATAATAAAATGAGTCTTGTTTATAGCATTGAAAGGCTACAAATCATATACTTAAAATTTTATTAATGTAGTAATAAAAAATTATTTCTACTTTTATTTTATTATATTGTTTTTAAATTAAAAATAATCTGTTGATTATTTTTTTATTAATATATTTTTTTTATAAATATTATTTTTTATTAAATGTGATTGCAGGTGCTTTGATTTTAATGAAATTTTATTATTGTTTATTATTTTACCACATAGTTAACTCAAATTTAAAATTTATGTAATGAATTTTAAGTATCATTATATTTCCCACAATAATTAAAATTAATTGTGAAACGAGGAGTGTAAAGTTCATGTGCGATTTATCTTTTAATTCATGCACATATAAGTATATAACATAAATTTATTATTTTTTTTTTCAAAAACCAAATTTAAGAAATAAAAGTTAAAGCTTCTATTTGTAATGGAAACTCACAAGGAAAGATCAAATTTTAGAAAATATAATAAAAATATAATATAATTTGAATTAAAGTACATCTCAACATTATTTTGGCTTCCGTACGCACCTCAAATTTGAGTTTTTCTTCTTGTTTCTAAGAAAAATTGAACTCCAGCAGTAACTTTTGAGCTCACCTCATTTTCTTTTCAAGTCAATAGCTGCAATGTTTGGTGTTTTCGCTCTGCTGCTCTCCTGCTTCCTTATTGCAGGCGCCCCCGGCAGTGTCTCTTTATTAAACAGTCAGGGCGCTCACCCCAGAAACCACCCCAGTTGGCAAGGCCGGAAAATAAGCCTCCTTCCAAGTAAGATTGTACTAAGGCTCGCATTATTGAATCGATGAGTAACTGCCAGAATAAAACAAAGCTCTTGACGTGCTCTCTCGGAATAGCATATGCGCGAATATCTCACGTATTTGCCCACTAAGGCGGCCGCATCGTAAAACAACGCCTCGTAAAAATTTCAATTTTCAGCCCGAGCCGTAAAGTTGCGTCGGCTGCGAAGAGCGACTCAGAAAGATCGTATCGCGCGCTGCAGCAATCATTAAAATTTTTGCGCTGCTGGATGAGTTAATGGTCCTCATCATTACAGCGCTCCCTCCGTCCAGGCTGGTGTCAACGCAAGTGCACTCTGTATTTTAAAATGTGTGTGGAAATCATAATTGGAAGCTGGATGTAGAATAGTAAGCTGGATTCAAGATTAAATATGATTTAAAAAAAAACCGTTATTAAATTATGATTGTCGCGAAAGAATGTGAAAATTTAATTTTGATGGTGTTTTTCTGCAAAAATCATCCTTACAAAATGTATGCGTTGTTTCATTTTAAATCTTTTACTTTAATTTCATACATTATATAATTTTTGAATATTTGCACGATATCTTGCAATAAACTCAATTTGCAACTAAAATTTGTTTCTAAACTTTTTATTATTTTTTTGTAAATTCCATCTTTTTTAATAATTTCATCTCCTTCTGTTCTATATTTTTGATAATATTTTATATTATAATTGTGAAGTTTACGGTTGATTTGTTCTTGTTTGACGCAATATTACTCGACCGGCTCATCAAAGTTAATTTTGTTTTGTATTTCACAGGTTTTCTTTATTGAATTTGCATGAGAATAGAAAAAAACTGAGCGTGAAATCATAAATTATTATTAATAATTTATGATTTCAGGCTCGATCAACTTTTTTTCCACGTCACTCGGAACATTACGGAAATGCATTTTCTGCATGAATCAAGTGATTTTATTTCAATTGGCACCCACTTAAAATCGACTACAACCAACTATTTCTTCAATTTCTGACTAAAGCGACTAAAACAGACTAAGATGACAGACTTTTTCAACTTTTTAAGCAAAAACTATGTTTTTCCAGACTGAAACAAAATTTCCGAAAAATTTGTCAAAAATATTTTGAAAAGCTAAAATTTATATATTTAAAAAAATTTAGCATACAGTTTTTATTTCAAGCGACTGAAAGTAGCATTTAGTAAAGCTATTTTTAATCTTTAATTAAATAAAAGGAATAAAACATGGGATGGATGAAAAATTCATAATTTTCAACAATGGAAAAAACATGTTTTTGAGCATTTTTAGAACATTATAATCATAATTTTACGACAAAATATAAATTTTGTTCACAAATATCAATCAAAACATGCAGCTAATTAAATTACCCTGTGCAACTGTCTTCAAAATATATATTTCAACACAATATTACAAAAATTCTATAACGTATGATAAAATCACGAAGTTCTGCATAATTGCTCTAGGAAATTTAAAAATGATGAAAAATGGGTGATAAATTATTATTTATGCTTTGAAAAATGGAGATTTCCGAAAAAATCGATTAAAATAATATTTTAATGTATTTTATGGCTCAAAAAATTTGATTTAAAAAATCGACTAAAACAAGCTAAAAAGGCGACTAAATTTATGTAAAATTAACTAAAAATAGTCGACTTTTTGACCCCTAAAAACCGACTAAAATGCACGAGCCTAATTATTATTGTTCTTTTGGAAATAGTTGCTGGTTTGGTGTGCAGGTGCCGCCCCTGTAACTAACCACGCAAACGAACCCCCGCGACGACCCTCACGCACCCACCCTTGCTTTAAAGAGGGAAACACAGAAGCTGCCAGCGCCGTCATACCGCGCTCTAAAATCTCTTTTGTGTGCGTTAAAGTGAAATCAGGCGCGCTTGTTTGCGTGAGGGAGCAGACGAGGGGCGCGCGAATGACACGGCTCATGGCAAACAATGTGTGCAATTTTGCCGGTAAGCGCAGAGGGAAAATCTGCGGAAAAGTCTTGAGAACGCTCCAGCGACTTGCGCAACAATGGGAAGGGCGCGCGAAAAATAAAACGGGCAGGGCGAGGTCGTGCAATTTGTTCGGATTTCAATTACCTTTTGTGCAAGGCGTGCGATTTTAATATAAAATTATCTCCCACTCGAATATTGCGTTCTTTTGCAACTGAGATAGACGAAATTGGCAGTTTTTGGAAGCGCTCCAAACTCGACGGGCGGATCAACTGCATGCGTGCGATATGCAGAGCAAACAAGGAGACGACCGCACATGTGGGATGCACAAAATCTGATCTCAAGATTAGGCACGAACGGGGCTTCTAATGTTGTTAAAGTAAAAGCACAAAATTTTTCAGTCTTGTCAGGCAAAAACCAGTAAAAATTGAGTTCAAAAATAATTTTAATGTTGGAAATTTCTTTCAAATTGTTGTTTAATTTTTTTAAATTCGGTTTGAAAAGAAAATTCAATCTTCATGTTGATAATTAAATTAATTACCTTTAATATCAAACAATAGTATAAATAATAAAAAACCTGCCTGAAACTGAAACTACGGTTAAAATAATGTTTTAACTACCTATTCTGATTGAGTCTTAAATTATTATTACATTTTTTTTTTAAAAATAAACTAATTTTAAGGAAACGATATACCTCATAAAACTCAAACAATAAAAAAAGTTAATTTTCAAGACAAACAAAAATTTGATTTGGCGATTTATTTTGCTAGAAATTTTCATCAACATTCCTTTTCTGCTGCATTAACATTAACTGTTTGATTGATATTAAATTTATTAATCTACACACATAATTATTCCTTTCTCAGATTGTGATATTTTACAAGCAAAAAGGAAAGCGCGCGTTTCACATCTGCTTTAGTGAGTCAGAGCGAGATTAAGCAGTGCAGCCGTTAACGGCACACTTTGACTCTCAGGGCGTACACCGGAGCCGCCGAATTTCAGAGCGAGGTATTTGAAATTCTGAGCGAGTCAGCTCGCCGACAACCTCCTCACTTTCAGACTGGTCCTCCGCTCTTTCCATAATTTAATTTTCCGCCACGAGCGGGAAACACACATTCGCAAGCTGCTGGAGCCGGCTGGCTGCTAGTTGGCTGACGTGTTTTTAAAAGAGCTACAACCAGAGCAGAGAGAGAAGAAACCTCGGCGGGCTACACATTTATTACTTCTTCGCATTCAGAGCTGCGCTCTCGGCGAAGCGTTTCTTCTGCAATTTTCTCGTCGAGGACCATATGCTCGCGTTGCCTAGGTTCGCAAAAATGTAATTTGCGGTCCTCGCCCGACGGCTGCGTTTTCCTACTTTAAATTTCGAGTGTGTTTTTACTCTTGTGAAAAGAAAGCACGGGAAAGGATGAGAAAATATTGTAGCAATAATAATTCATGTTCTCATAACAAACGTCACAACTTTTATTTCAAATTTGACTGATGATGTAACCGTTTTTCAATTTTAAATACATAAAATGCAGTTGATTGATGATAATTTTACAGTTTGAATTAAATGTATTTTACAACACACAGTATAAAAGAACCGATTTTTGCTTAGAACATTCATAAATAAGGCCTGATTCATATGAATTATGTTTTTGAACTGAAACATAATGAAATTGCTAATTTAAAACATTTTATGAAAGATAAAAACGGTAAAAACTAGAATTTCATGGATTAAATCTTTTAAAATTTTAAAATATATGACAAAATAAAATGTTGCATTCAAAATACTTTTTTTAATAAGTTTAATGGAAGTTTCAAGATAGCAACCGCGCGAGTTTTGTTGTAATATAAACTGTCCATTCCCTTTTATCTCCATTACATGAGACAATATTTACAACCGGCCAATCTGAGAGAGCTCGCATGGTAAATTTCCATATTTTGCGAAGCAACTCGGTGCGAGTTTTTTTTTTAATGAATAAACGCAGCTTCTCTGCAAAGTGTTAATGGCCTGAGTCCAGTCCTAGCTCGCTTCCATCCATCGCCACGCTGATAACATCTGAATGCCAACCAGCACTTCCACGAATGTAAATCTGCTCCGTTTTTTTTTTTACCATTTCATTCGGGAGATTGTAATGTACTCAGCGACGAACACATGCGAGAGAGAGTCGTGCGAATAATCGCTGAGAGCGAAAAGAGCCGCGGAAAATAAACGTGAGTGGCGGAAAGTGGGAAATCGGTTTTTGCGCTATGCTGAAAAAGCCGCGAGTCTTTTTTATGACGATGCTTTTCCTCACTTTCAAATCATGAATGAATATAAATCACCGCTCAGGGAGATGTTTTAAAATAATCATAGCACGATTTCTACTTTAAATTCATTTCAATCTAAGAATCGTTTTAACCTGGCGTAACCTTTTAAAGCAAATATTTAACAAAATTTTACTATAGAAGCCTTTTCAGATCTTTGAAAATGTAAAAAAAATAAGAATTCTCTAAGGAAATAGATTCACGTCATTTCAATAGAGTTATAGTCAGTTGCGATACTGTATGCATTTATGCAACCGCGTAGACAGGCGCGTCCTACAGGTTGCCTATCAAAAAAAAAACGTTATTTCCAAAAAATTACCTTTCTTAGCTAACACGTTATTATATTGAATAATTCCAATAAAATAGAGAATTTTTAACTACATCAACGAAGAATTTAATTAACAAATAAAATTAACTTTGTTCCAGAATTTGCCTGGCAATACAAATACATACACGGTGGTCGAGCAGACTCTTGAGCCGCCGATCTTGGCCACCAGACTGAGATTTGTGCCTCAGAGTGTCCACGTGCGGACTGTTTGCATGCGTATTGAAATCGTAGGCTGCCTTTGGACAGGTTTTCAAACTGCACAACTTTCTTATTTCATTTTACAATCAAATTTATAATAATTTGCAGAGGGGCTTGTGAGCTACTCGATGCCGCAGGGAGAGCAAAGGGGGTCCGAGGTTGACTTGAGCGACCGGAGCTACGACGGAAAGGACGAGGGCAGCTACCTGATAGGGGGGCTGGGTCAGCTGGTGGACGGTCAGGTTGGCGCGGATAACTTTCGTCTTGACACCAACGGACACGGTAAAGGTATCAATGTGCACCGTGTAGACCTTAGAGATTAATCTAGAAAGCTTGATTTGGATAATTGCGACGTTCAATAAATTTACTTAAATAGAAAAATGTATATATTTGCATGAAATTAATATTTAACTAAAAATTTGAAAATCATATTGTTTATCATATCATAAATAATATATTATAAATTATAATTATCAGAGAGTTTTTAAAATTTTATTGTTTAATTTTTTTTACAAAATATAGTTTTATTAAATTTTTATTCCATTTTATTCTCTTGTAAAAAGTTCATTTTAGAAAAAAAGTGTATGAAATTGCAATTTATTTTTTTAATAAAAAGAGCTTTTATAAAAAATTTTTACATTTTTTTAGTCATAATGAATTGGTTAAAAATGCAGCTAATTATTACCTAATATATTTGATTATTCTCGTCTTTTTCTGCATTTTTAGCTTTGAAAGTTTGGAATGTTGCGCATGCTTGAGTTTTGATGGGCTTGGTTTGCTTGGAATTTGGATGCTAAAAATAAATTGCCTCATTCATAATGCATCGGCGTCGCGCCTAATGGGATTTTGCTTTTTCTGCAGGCTACGAGTGGGTCGGCTGGAAAAACGAGAGCGGTGCCCGACCAGTGGAAATTGTGTTCGAGTTCGACCGGGTGCGAAACTTCTCGGCCATTCACCTGCACGCAAACAACCTGTTCACCAAGGATGTGCAGGCAAGATATTGTGTTTTTTTTTATCAATCTATATCAAATTTAACATAGCTGAACTCAAATACATTCAATTCTTATAAAATAAAATAAAAATAGCTTCAAAACTTTTTTGTGTCTTTTGTTAAATATTTATTTTTTATATGAGAAAAATTATAACAGACCAATTTTGCAGGTTTTTTCGCAAGCGCGAGTCTTTTTCAGCGTCGGCGGGCGTCACTACAGCGGGGAGCCGGTCCACTTTTCTTACGTGCCAGACTTAATGATTGAAAGAGCGAGAAACGTGACCGTCAAACTGCATGGTCGCATCGGCCGCTATGTCAAATTGCAACTTTGGTTTGCGGCGAAATGGATCATGATCAGCGAGGTGTCTTTTGACTCAGGTTAGTTGGTTTTTCTATTTCTTTAATTAACTATAAAAAATTGAACTTTTCAACTAAACTCTATAAAAAATAAAAATAAAATTATGGCACCCAAATAATCTGGCATGTCAATGTAATCTTTACATTCAATTGTCCAACTATCCAGATGAATAATAAAAAAAATCTACATTGCTTAATTAAATTACCTACAATTAGTAATATACGGTATTTGATTAACTTTTAGCACTATAATTTATAAAATAACCAAAATAAAACATCCAAACCATTTATTGGACAAAATTTATTACCAAAATATAAAATAATAATTTAGAATTAATTGTTTTTTTTTCTTGAAGGGTGAAAAGAAGACTATTGTAAAAAATGCATACAATTTTTATTTAAATATAACAAATAAAATTTTAATTACGTGAGCTTGTGGTATTTGAATTACATGTTGCACTCATATTTGCATTTGCTCAGTACTTGACCTTTTTAAAAATACTGCTGCTAGAGTGATGAATGCGATGCTACACTGCAAAACTCAAGTTGGTTGCGACAACATGTTCAAGTGCAGGCACGGCAGATTGCTCTGTAAAGCGTGAGGCACATTTTTCAGGCGTGTAGTCGATGAAAAGAGGCCTTGCAAAAAGAGTTATAATTAGGTTTTGCTAATTAAAAAGTAGCGCTCAGCAATTGGGGCGCAAAGTCTCGAAGTTGAATAGGTGGATTCCTGCCGTTGGGCAAAAAAAAGGAAGTAAAAAAAAAAAAAAAATATGTAAGATAGCACTCGAGACGAGGTTCTGCTTTTGTTGCCGACATCAGAGAAGTTTTTGTTTTAAATGAGCAAGAGTGTTGCTCGTGAATGCACTTTGAGCAGCAGAAAGATCATATCTGATGAGAGCTCTGTGATGTTTTCATACATGCCTCTCAGCCCGAGAGATAAAATCGGGCTTAACGATCTTGTGCCAACATGTGTGCGCAACAAATCACAGACAAATTTCAACAACTGCAAACCCAAACTGTCTGGGAAAGTTTCTTTTCTTAATTTTATTTCAGCATCTGTTTTAGTAGTGATCAGGTCTAAAGACAATACTATTTTCCTGGGAAGTTTAAATTATTCGATTAAAAATCAATTGAATTTGACAAAAAGTGGACAAGGTGAATTATTTAAAATTTATTCAAATGCGGAATTTATTTTTTCCACAATATAGTTTTTTTTAGTAAGATTTTGAAATTCACGCGTTTTAGTAAAAGGGTGAAAAGGTCATTGTTAACAACGGGGTCATCCATGAATCTCTTGTTTGCACAGCAGGTCACAAGGGAATGCCAGGGCACATTGCTAAACTCCTGCAGACAGACGCAGTCGTTTCGAACAAAAGGCGCACTCACTCGCAAAACCCGGCGCATTGCATTTTATTCATCTCCAGAGAAGCGAATCGCAGGTGTGCCGTGCAATGCATGCTGCATAAGAGATGGAGTTGCGCTTTTTGCTATGCAAGCAAGTGGCTGGTCCGTGCGCAGAGCACACACGTGACTCACAAATGCACGCTTCTATGCACGAAAATTCTCTCACGCGCCCGTAAAAGAAAATGAGAAGAAAAATATATTATATGAGCAGAACATTTGCGTGCCAACTTCAATGTTTTCTTCTTTTTATTCTGCAGAGAGAAAGAAAAGACTGCAGAATATCTTATTTAATGTATCATAATAATTTATATAAAATTAAAAAACAAATAATTATATGCCCAGGAATATCGCTATTTTTTATGGATTTCCTTTCCTTAAATTAAATGAAGAAAAGTATATTATTATTTTGTACAATTTTGTAATTTTAATTTTCCGTTTATTAAATTGTGAAGTTTATTTTACTTTGTTGGATAAATTTTTACATTAAAATTGAATCCGCTATTTGTTGTTTCAGTACCAATGACTTCAAATATCACTGAGGAGGATTCGCAAGATTTGGGAACTGTGCCCGCAAGTGAATATCCACTGCAAAGGGATGAAGTCCATCATGAACATCGAGAAATCGGTAAAGTTTGATATAAAATTAAAGCATTAATTTATCTTTTAATTTTAGTTGATGAAGGAAACCAAACACAAGAATCTGGGAGCTACATTGGGCCGGTCATTGGAACTCTTGGGGCAGTAATTTTAGTTTTGGTTGCTGCGATTTTCTTCATTGTCCTCAGACACCGCCGAGGCAAAAATGGAACATCTACTGTCTTACCGAAATTTGGAGACAAAAGAACAAAAGTATAAAATTAAATAACAAAAAAAAAAGTGATCAAAAAAAGAATTGTAAATTTAGGAATTGGACAAAACTAGTGGTGGAATGTACCATGAACCTTACCACGTTGGGATGTACAACAATGGCCGGTACAGCGCGGTCAAAGGAGAGGTCAGCAGCCCTGATTATGCTGGTCAGTTTTTTAATTTCACAACTTGAAAATTAAAATAAATTTGAAAATTCAGATGTGCAGAGCTGTGAGTATGCTGTGCCGGGGTCGCATCATCTGGGTGCGGCGCAGCCCCTGGAGACGCCGCCACCCCCGTTTGCCACGGCCAGGCGGCCCTACTCATTCCTGCCGGGCCCTCCGCCGGGCCCTCCACCTCCAACTGAGCAGTTCTACGCCGCCACGGAAATAGTTCAAGTATAAAAATCAATGCAAATTTTGTGCCTCAATTTTTTATTGGATTTGTTTGATTCACTGTTTTTAGAATATTTTTACTTAATTTTTTACTTGTCACTAAGTTTCTGTATAAGAAATATCAACATAAAATAATATTTCAATTTTTTTTTTTTTGACAGGGTGTAAATAATATGCACTCGCCACCCCCTAACATGGGGATGCAGTTGAGCTGTCCGCCGCCTGTGCCGGACACAGCCAGCGAGGCGGAAGAGGAGGAATACGAACCTTCCTCGCCACTGTTGCTGGACTTTCCCAGGGACAAACTAAGGGTGCTGGAGGACCTGGGTCAAGGTCGTTTTGGCCAGGTGCACCTTTGTGAAACTGAGCAGTGGAATGAACATCGGCTCGTAGCTGTCAAGTGGCTCGCGCCTGGGGCACCAGAAAACACGAGGTGCTTTAGAAATTATTTTCAATATTAAATATAATTATAATCAGCTGAAAATTATTGAAGGCACACAAAAAATCAAATTTTAATTATAAAATTGTTTAATATTTTTTTTTTAATTTTTAATTTATATAAAATTTTTTAATAATGAGCACACAAAATTAAAATGATGATTCATATCAGGGCTGAGTTTGAGCGCGAGACTGAAGTATTGGCTAGGCTGCGCGACCCCAACCTGGCCAGGGTGCTCGGAGCGTGTCTTGCGGAAGAGCCTTATTGCGTGGTGCTCGAATATAGCGATTTTGGCGACCTGAACCAATTTCTGCAAGATCACATTTCAGAAACAACCACCCCCGTGCCTGCCAGAGCCAAAACATTGAGGTAAAATTTCATTTAAAAAATATTTAATTAATACTTTGAGGAATATTTTGGGCAAAATTTGTACATATTTTTAATTGATAAAATGATTATAATATAAAATGTGATTTATTAGATGATGTTTTCATTTGCAGTTATGGCAGTTTGATATACATGGCCACCCAAATAGCCTCTGGCATGAAGTTCCTCGAGTCGCTCAACTTCGTGCACCGCGACCTGGCCACCAGGTAAAAAGAGATATAAGCATTGTGGAATTCACTTATCTGTCGGCTTGCTTGCTTTTCATCCCTCAAGTCATATGTTGGTTGCTCTCTGTGTTATTTATGGTTTCGCTGCGTTTATGCCTTTTGTGTTGAGAGATAAAGTTACACGCTCTTTATGGCTGCTGCTGCAACTTTATTGCAGCTGCAGGCCACCCGCTCACCCACAGCAACTCTTGCTTCTACGAATCAATCTCTCTGGTCAGGCGGTGCGGGCAGAGCAACGGAGTCGCATTATCTCGATGCCGTTTCCTCGTCAGTGTAATATTTCACTGACCGTTGCCATTTAGAGCTTTGTACACTTCGAGTGTAAAGCAATTTTGAAAAGTATTGCATGTATTCAGTGGAAAACCTTTTTTTATAATCATTGAAATATAAAAAATTGCCGAGAAAATTAGTGAAAAATTAACTAGACATATGGTTATTATTTTTTCCCTGATTTTTTAATATAGTATTATTTTAATTTATATTAATCATTCCCTAAAAAGACGGAATTGATTTATTAAGAGCTCCCGTATTTAGAACTTTACATTATATTATTGTTCAGATTTAAATCTCTTTGATCTTTTTTGACCTGGAAACATTTAAATAGATTGATTGTTTTGTTCACAGAAATTGTCTGGTCGGTCCAGGCTACTCAACAAAAATATCTGACCTGGGCTCTGGGCGCATCCTTTACTCATCAGATTATGTCTCTTTAGAAGGCCAGCAACCTTTGCCTCTCAGGTGGATGGCGTGGGAAAGCGTTTTGCTGGTAATTATTTTTAAACATTGATTTCTATTGTTTTTATAATTGAATTTTTCGTTTCACAAGGGCAAATTTTCAAGTAAAAGTGATGTCTGGTCATTTGCCGTGACCCTTTGGGAGATTTTAACCTTTGCAAGGGAGCAACCCTTTGAGGAGCTCAGCGACGCCAAGGTGCTGGAGAACTTGGCGCACATCTGTGATGACGATGGCCATCAGGTAAAAGGAGTTTAAAAAAAATATATTTTTTATTTAAAAAAAAAAATAGGAAAAATGTATAAATAAATTTTTTTTTGTGTTTTTGAAATAGACAGTGAAGTTTTTAATTATTTCAGGAATATCTGGAGCAGCCTAAAAACTGCCCCAAGGAGATTTTCGACCTGATGACTGAATGTTGGCAAACCTCGGCTGCTGCAAGGCCTAACTTTAGAGAGATCCACCTGTTCCTGCAGCGCAAGAACCTCGGCTACAAACCCAACAGCCCGACTTCCAAGGGCTGATCAACAGTGTCCTTTTCTGCTTGTGCTCTTCTTGATGGGCAGCAGCGTTTTTGATCTCGACTGTGCAAAAAACTGCTTTAGTCTCCTAGAATGTGGCAATGAACTGCAATTTGTAAATAAAAAAAGCATTGGATTTAAGTGCCGTGGAATTGGGAAAAAAGCCTACTTGGCCAATGTTAAATGATTAAAGCTCACGTAATTTGATAATCTGAGAGGATGATTGGTGAAATTTTGATCCTTTTTTTTTAAATCAAAGATATTTATTAACAAAAATTTAATATTTCCCATTTTCTTTTTGCTAACCTTATAAGCTGTGGGCAATAATATGAGAGTTCTCAAATTCATCTGGAGCTCTCTATAAGTTTAGACTGCAATAATTATATTATTTATGTGACTGCTGACGCATATTAAAATATTTTATAATGTTCAATGTTGAAAAAAATATTATTTGTTGATAAAGCATTTAAAAAAGCCACCAGTGAAGAATGTCTGGGCTTTAATCAAAAAACAAATTTGTTGGGGCAGATTTTTTTATGTTTACTGTAAAATCAATCATGACGCACCTTTTTTCCTATTAAAAAAAAATCACCACACACTCCTGTCGCCAGTCATATCAATTAAGGCAACTTTGTGATTGATTATAAATTAATTAATAAATCTTTCAATTGTTATGAATGTTGGTTTTATAAGCCGAGTGAGTGAATATCAATTAGTTTTTTTTAACACCATTCAGGCAGAGTTCATCAGTAAATGGACCATATTAATTAATTATACCTAACAAGTGAAAGTGAGCTGATTGTTGTCACCTCTTGATGCAATTTACGACCATCTTACATAAAGTAAATCACACAATAAAAAGAAAAGCATGTAGTAAACTGAAATTTTTTTGTCTCATTTAGCTTTTCCAATTTTCCTTTTCATACACAAATATATAATATTTTTCAATTTCCAAATTTTGAATTGCTAAGGCTAATTTTTTGTTGGCACGCATTAAAAGTCTTGGCCTCGGTTCCTCCCTTTCGGTATAAATGTACTACATTGAGATGCCCGATAGAGTTAAACGTCTTATCTGTGCTATGATGGATTCTCGCCCGGCAGCGAAAGCAGTCGTCGCAAGTCGCAACGATATGCACGGAGGAAATTAAAGATGCGCCCGATAAGTAGCAGCCTGTGAAAGTGGCGTAATATAACTCACTCGCACCCCGCAGCCTCTGCCACTGCGAGTTTTCGCACTCTTGGCTGCACCGCCGGCTGGCTATCAGTGCTTCGTGTAAACTATAATATAACCCTTTAAAGATTCAACGGTCGTAATATAGAGAGTGTGCAGGAAGACACTTTCATAGTTTAAATAAATTTAAAAATGTGATAAGTACAAATAATGGGGAAAACATAAAATCAATCTAATTATCTGATGATGTATAATATCATTATTATTAAATGTGTAGCAAGTTTATAATTATATTCTGAGAAAAATATTAGAAAAACAAAATTATTATACTTTACCACTATTATTTTAATATATAACAAACATATCTAAATAATTATTAAATTATTATGTCAGAAATTTAAAAACAAAATAAAGAATTATTGTAAAATAATATATAAATTTATAAGTAATCAAGACTATAATTCAATATAATTATAAATTCTTTAAACTCTTACTTTAGATTAGAGATCACTATTTATGAAATTTAGTTTTCTTTTTTTCTTACAATATGCAATATCCAGAAATCAATTCAATTTTCTTTTTTTTTTTGTAATCCTTTAGTCTGGATTCACTGAATAATAGCATTTTATTATCCTGGTGTTGAGAGTATCTTTGGCGACCTCTTCACCTTAGGGCGAGGGTGTGCTGAGGGGACGCACGGGTGGCGGGGCGAGTAAGGTGAGGCGGACTTTGTCGCGATTGCAGCAACGCGTGCGGCTTAACAAAAACGCCGCACATAAAAATAAAGTGTGAGCTGCAGATAATAAAAAAGCCTCGTCGCCCGTAGTCAGGAGAATAACGCAGGACTAGAGATTCGCGAACACACAGGAACGGAGCCTAATCTCGTTTTCTAAGTAGCGTGACAGACAAAGAAAGGGAAGCGTTCGCAACACGTGATAAAAACGGCCGCCCCCAGCCCCCAACGTTTTGCGTCGACAGCTTATTTCTTGTAGAGTTGCTCCGAAATCAACTGACAAGGAAGATAAAACCTTTTAAATTTTGCAGAAAAAGCAGAACAAAATATAAATTGAATTAATAATATTGTTTTTGTTCAAAGTTCAAGTCCCAAATTGTGCTTATGATGTACTCTTGATTGCTGATTCATTTCAATTTTCCCAATTTTCTTCCACATTTGCAAGTTGCAATTTTTCTTTATAAACTCTCTCAGGTTCAAAATAATAACTTATGAAATATTTTCTCCTCTCTTCATTGTAATTTGTGTATGACATCTTATTTCCACTACAATTTGGGGGCGAAGGAGCTTTTATTCGTCATCGTTTTGCTCGGGGCTACATTACGAGAATATTTTTTTAGCGTGTGTGAATTTAGGGTCGCTCTTCGCGCGGCTCACCCACCCTCTCCACCGGTCGGGGTGCTGCGTGTGTGTATGTATAATTACTCAGCATCCATCATCATTACAGGTGACGCTTGCATGAAAAATGTATTCGCCACGGAACACGGAATGATACTTTTCTATCCACTTTTGCTTGCTCTCTTGCTTTTTTATTATTTCCAAAAAAAGGCGCTTTCTTTCGGTTCGGCGCCGGCAATAAATTGGGGGCGCACCGCGAGAGAAATGGCGGAAAACTCGTCGTCTTTTCTTCCTTTGGACTTCGAGTATTTTATGCCGGCGTCTTCTTGTGGAAAGGGTTGTGCACCGCCGCCTCCGCCAAAGAAAGAAAGAGAGCGAGTTTCGAGACTCTCAATTGTTAATGGCCACGGAATATAAAAGAGGAAGCGACTGCCGATGCTTTATTCGCGGCGAGCAACGCCACCGCCACCAACGCAGCAATTATAATTCTCGTCGTGGCTTTTCATTGCAGGAAACTCATTTTTCCGCAAGCAACCTCAGATTCAAAAGCTCTTTCCATGAAGTCAGGAAAATGCACCAGATCGTGAAAACATTCGACCACAGTTTACAGAATGGGCTCTAGAAAATCTAAGAACTTTTTGCTTTTCAGTGGGGTCGATATTTGTATTAAATAATTATTTTTATATATTTAAATCTTTCTAGTTTTTCTAATTTTTTGGATTCAAAATGTTATACTCGACAAATTAAATAGATCTCTGTAATAATACAAAAATATTTAGTATTTTAATTATTCAAAATAATAAATAAAATAGCTCGGATATCATATTATGTACAGTGAATTTAATTCACCACATTGCTTTTGATGTTCCTAGGATTGGAAGTAATGATGTGTGGTAATCTGAGGGGTTTTGATTATTAAAAATTATAAAACAAAGCTGTTTATTAATTAGAGTTTTAGGCTACTATACTGAAATTTTAAGAAAGCGGCTCTTGTGTCACTAAAATTATTAACAAAGGATATTCTAACAATGACCCAGCTTTAATTGATTGAATTAAACTTGTTCGTACTTAAATTTTGCACTTTCCATCGCAGCGAGAAAAAAGATTTGCAAAGCACTTTGTAAGAGCGAACAACTCTTCACTTTTTCAAATCGGCGAGTGGAACAATTATTATTATTATTATTGTGCCCCTTTTGCTTTTTTCCACGGCAGCTCGCCTGCTTTATTTTCTGCTCGGCACAAATAAATGGCCGGCGTCGATTCAGCTCTCTGCGATTGTGATCGGCTGCAATTAGAATAAAAGCAAAGTTTGTCTGGCACATACAGCGCAGCAATTACTCAATATTGAAAGAGACCACGGCACATACTATTCTACAAGCCGTGTGTACGTCTGAATGGCCATTCGTTTGCTCCGGCCGACTACTTTTTTGCTACCCCGCTCGCTCCTGGGACGGACGTAAAAAATTATATCGCAAGCAGAGCAAAAGTCTGGTTGTAAAAACGCTCCGCTCTCGCGCACACACATATGCAACCCGCTCCACACGAGAAAGAGAAAGAAAGACGAGGTATGCGCGCCTTTTTATCCGCCGAGCTCTGCAGCGACGCTGAAAAAAATGAGTAAAAGTTAATGGCTCGTGATGCTAAATATTGTACGTACAAACACGTATGCTTGCTTTTTATATAGCTTTACGATTTAGTCAGAGCGCAGCACTGAGATAAGCCTGGGCCAAATCGCGAACGACTTGCAGCCTTTTCAAAGCACTCTCGGACTGATTTGCAAACTGCACAACCATATGAAAGGTGATTGAATTTTATTACTTAGTGACGACTGCCAAAAGCCAAAAGAGGAAGAATAACAAAGAAATAAAAGGGGAAATAAAAATAAATTTATTTAGCTCTACCAATCAAAGAAAGAAGTATTTCGGGGGTTAACCTGAAATATTTTAAGGTGTTTTTATTGCAATTTTTCTTGTAAGATATAAAATGTATTTAAAAATGTATCATTTCAGTAAAATGGTTTTTAACAGTTTTTTTTCCAGATAAAAGCTCGTAATAAATTAATTTGAAACTTTTTAATTTTCTATATTTTTATTTTTATTTTTAGGTTCAGGGTAAGACATATTATGTGGTCTTTATTATTGGCGCAGAAGAACTACATATTTACTTGCATTGGTAACTGTTTCGATGATTGATACACTAAATTTCACTTAATCGTTTCTATATGCACAGCTTTCAATGCCAACCGACCTCTGCCGCATCTTTAGAGGGATGATTTACGCGACAGGACCCTTGACTCTCCCTTAATTTCACTTCCCAAAGAGAGTTTGAGAAAATTTCGTGCGCCAAACCACAAGAATCCAATTGCAAGTTTGTCCTGCCCCGTCGAAGTTGGAAGCAGGCTGGGCCGGAAAAGAGACGCGCTCCAAACGTCTGAGGAATGTCTCGGAAAAAGCGGCGAAGGGGACGAGAGAGAGAGAGGAAAGCAGCATCCAGCATCCCCTTTCTTTGATCCTAATTCCACAAGGGAGAGCAGAAGGAAAGAAAGCGATCCGCCGCCAGGGCCAAATGCAATAATGCAAATGCATTATCTGACTAGTTAGAATGGGACCCGCGTGAAACTTGATGACGGCAGGAAAAGGAAAAATTTATGCAAAAAGTATTTTCGGTGAAACTTGGCCCGGCGAATGGAGGTATAATAAGATTCTGGGATGAGCAGAGTGAATGAATGCAGAGGGAAACATCGCTAGCATGGCAATTTTTTCCAACTTTGCATCATATTCAGTTTCAAGAAGCGTTTCAAAATATCAAATTTCACTTATTCCAGCGGAATTTTTTAAAAAAGAATTACTTTTGGAAGTTTTTAATGGAACTTCAGTGTATATTTTTTGATGAATTTATCAAATCGCTTTAATTTAAATTAGTCAAATTTAAATTTCCACCAATCTGCTTAGAAGAAACCAAACAAGTTGCATTGCATCAATTTGATACAGAGTTATGTTTGTAAATTTTGATTTTATCATATTATCTGTTCTTTTAATACTAAAATTGTAAACTAAAGTGTAAAAGTTACGTATTAAATAAATTAACAATTAATATTTAAGATTTAACATCATATTTTTTGGTTAAATTAGATTTATAACAAAATAGAACTAAGCAATAATAGCAATAAAAATATTCTGAATATAATTTTGATTCATAATGAAATAATAATTTGAATAAAATATTATTTTACGCAAAAATTTGAAATTAAATCTATAACATTATTGCCTTTCAGACAGGAAGAAACTCAAATACGTCCATTCTGATACAAGTCATCATCATCACGCAGAAATACAGCTCAGCAAGGGTATCTCCAG